TTGCTGAAAATCAATTGGCTTCTTCATCTCATGACCTTAAACACTGTGTATAAATTTAAAGTCAATCGGATATTTAACTTTAGCCTCTAGAACGTCCACAAGATTTTTCAAAGTGATCAATGGCCATAACTCTGGCAGTAATTATCGGAATTCGCAGGAAATAAATAGGCTTCTTCGGCTCATGACCTTAAACACTGTGTATAAATTTACATAACTCTGGCAGTACTTATCCGAAATCATTGAAAATCAATATGATTCTTCATCTCATGGCCTTAAACACTGTGTATAAATTTAAAGTCAATCAGATATTAACTTTAGCCTCTAGAGCGTCCACAAGATTTTTCAAAGTGATCAAGGGCCATAACTCTGGCAGTATTTATTGGAAATCGCTGAAAATCAATAGGCTTCTTCGTCTCATGACCTTAAACCCTGTGTATAAATTTAAAGTCAATCGGATATTAACTTTGACCTCTAGAGCGTCCACAAAATTTTTTGAAGTGATCAAGGGCCATAACTCAGACAGTAATTATCGAAAATCGTTGAAAATCAACAGGCTTCTCCGTCTCATGATCTTAAACACTGTGTATAAATTTAAAGTCAATCGGATATTAACTTTAGCCTCTAGAGCGTCCACAAGCAATTGTGGACGCCGGACAGACAGGGGCGAGAAAAATATAAGACCACATTTCAATGTGGGCGTATAAAAAGCTTAATAGAATTTTACCTACGAAGGCTATTTATAGACTCATAGACTCTTGTGCTGAGTGTTATCGCACTGTGTGACTAGCCAGAAATCACTTCGAGACAAGCCACTAAAGCGTGTACATTCACTGTGTTGAGTTCAACTTTCAGTAGGGAAAATTTTGGCTGCACGTGACACCCTACATAGACTTTGAAGCGGAGGCCTAATGTGCTGAGTGACCAGACTATATGTCAGATCAAAAATTGTTACAGCTACCAGTTGATAAACAAAAAGAAACAACTACCAAAAGATAATTGTTGCTTGTAACCTTCCTAATATTATTATATAATACCATATATTGTAATTATTTTATGTACCAACATTTGTAAGTTTTTATTATAATTTTTTCCACTGTTACTAGCATTACAGAACAGTAGGAAGGTATCATCCTTTAATTAAATTAATTTAATTTAAATTTTTATTTATTTATTCTATTTTATTTTATTATTTCTTAGGATGAAACCATAAAAACCCTCTTGTCATTTTGGTATTTTATACCTATTTTCAGGTACTGGCATAACAAATCAGTTGCATTAGGAACTAATATTACTTTCGTACAATTTCATGTTTCATAAATGTACATTTTTGTTCAATTTAAAAAAAAAAAACTTGTTAACTTTTAAATAAATCATATTAAACATTATGTGTTTAGATTCAGTTTCCAAGGAGTAGGGTACACTGCCCAACCAAATGGGTTTTCTCTGCGGCCCCCAACTGCTAAGACCATTACTGGCAAGCAAATTATTGAATTAAAATGGTGGCATGTTATTCCCAAAATGACCTAGTCTGGTCAGGTGGAATTAAAAAACTTAAAACCATCTCTCCACATCCCTCTTTGACTTTCTCCATATCCCTGTCTCTCTTCCCCTGCTTGAACTCGAAATGCATACTTCAGGATTTGTGTGAAGGGAGCAAATGTTTAAAAGGAAGAATAACAAACAATCGTCAAATTCAAGCCTAGCCCTCTTCATTGGTAACCACTATTCTGCAAAAAGCGAATCTTATTTTTCATCTGAATGATTGTGAATTTACTTGGGATTTTAAAAACAAACTTTTATTCTACCAAGTTTCATGTAAATTCATTGAAAAACAATTAGTTTACTTGCACTGGAATTAAATTACCACTTTTTAGGACCAGATTTTGATTTCGTACTGAAATTCTTTTTTTTAATGAAAATTGAATATTAAATTCTATAAATGTAAACGGTTTTGAAATTCAGTTCTAATATTTGGGCGATTACTTCTGCCAATTTTCATGCAATTGCCCAAAAAATAAAATTTGGTTGGTTTTAGCCTACCGTAGGCCTACATTAATAGTAGGCCTACATTCATTGACCTTAGGCCTACATTAATAGCAGCCTATTAGTAGGCCTACATAGTAGGCTACATTCATTGAAAAAAATCTAAAACCTTATCATCACTCAGGGCAAACAATAAATTATCAATTGAGTTTAATAATTTGTAACATTGTGACAGCTTATTATCACCTTTCTGAGAAGTATTGCATTAGAAAAGTACAAGAAGGGAGTTCTGCCAGACGTCGTTGTCGATATTCGCTGTGACAGTCATCAGTCAATGTCAATAAGCCGAACTCTGTGAGTGAATGATTCCGAAAATAGCCCATCAACATAGTTCAGAAATAAATTGGCACCGTGTCCGTCTTGTGTCATTCCTTCATAAATGATTTTTCATATCAAAGAACTAGTCTTCAAGATATTCATATAGTCAACAAAAGTGCAAACTACACTGGCATCTAAGATGTCCCTAATATCAGATTTTGTTGTGAAATTAATAATTTTCGCCGCCATCTTACCTTGTCGCTTTGATTGTGATGTAAGTACCCGGATGATCGCCGTGTGGCAAGTGGGCGTGGTCGATCCACGTGTTTATTGATTGATCTCAATGCCAATGGCTATCTATATTACCCACGACTTTGAACAAAAAATTAAATATCTTTAATCGTTAATTTCAAATGAACTCTGTTTCCCTGAGGCCGTTGCGAAAGTAACTAAGAGGAACTCATGCAAGAACGAATGGACAAACGCATTTTTCTAGACTTATAGAATTTTGTGAGATTCTATAGAATGCTATAAATACTACAGGAAAAATAATTCATTCTGAAGATTTTGTTTAATACACTATTTATAACCCGTTACTTTAACAACAAATTAAATAGCCCCGCCCCAAATATAAGACGAGATGCATAGGAAAAAAAACGTGCAGGCCTACACATAAGACAGATTTTATTGTATAAACCGCCCACGGGGGGGGGGGGGGGCAGAATACAATTACATAAATCCCCTTTTAATAACAAACATAACCAACATACAATGACATTATTTCAACAAACATAGATAGGCTATGCAAACCGAAAAAAGACATTATATGTAGCCTACGTCGCATCAACAAAAATCCCTCGTCACAGCCAGATTACTATTTTGTACCAAGACATTATTCGATTCAGATGTTTGATAGGTTCACTTTTATGACGTTGCACTGTCGTATTTATCGGGCAAAAATGATACAGCCCCCCCCCCCCCCTCAGAAAAAAGGAAAATCGACCCGTACGCCATGAGGGTTGAACATATTGCCAAAGTAAAACAATTTGCCAGAAGCTGCGATCCTTGAGGAAATGGTATGCATTTTTTGACTTTGTGTTTTGGGCATTTAGATAGGCCTATACTCTTTTGTTCGCTGGAATGGTCGGATATAATCGCCCCCACCCCCTTGTCATTATTTCAACAAACATAGATAGGCTATGCAAACCGAAAAAGACATTATATGTAGCCTACGTCGCATCAACAAAAATCCCTCGTCACAGCCAGATTACTATTTTGTACCAAGACATTATTCGATTCAGATGTTTGATAGGTTCACTTTTATGACGTTGCACTGTCGTATTTTTCGGGCAAAAATGATACAGCCCCCCCCCCCCTCAGAAAAAAGGAAAATCGACCCGTACGCCATGAGGGTTGAACATATTGCCAAAGTAAAACAATTTGCCAGAAGCTGCGATCCTTGAGGAAATGGTATGCATTTATTGACTTTGTGTTTTGGGCATTTAGATAGGCCTATACTCTTTTGTTCGCTGGAATGGTTGGATATAATCGCCCCCACCCCCTTGTCATTTTTTTTTTACTTTTTGACTTTTAATGTAGGCTTGAATATGTTTCTGAAGATGTATCAGCCCAAGTTTGTAATTGTACAAAGTATTGAATTTATTTGTTTTGCGCCCATATTTTAGTATGGACTTAATATTTTATGCCGCCCATGTCGGTCCGTTAACAATTTATAGCTTGTGAATGCGACAGAGCCTATATTTTTTTAAATTTGATGGGAAGCATTCTCATATTATGAGGACGAACCCTATCGATATCGATATTTAGCATTTCGCGATCTTAGGTTCAGTAGTTATTATGTTCCCTTTTCCGAAAACATTGTGAACGCGATAGAATCTGCGGTTTTTAACGGGTTCTTTTTTAAGGTTTGTGTGAAGCATTGGGGTCATGATAGGGCGAACCCTATCGATATTCAGATTTCCGAGACTTTTTGTTCCATATAGTTTATATCTCCTTTGTTGTAACCCCCTTGTGTTTGCGAAAGAGGCTGTGCAGACAATGTTATACATTGATTAGTGAGTTTATGTGCAAACTTTTGGAATTGGTAAAGTTTTAATTTCGGATACTTTTATACTTAGCGAAAGAATGTCAAGCCCGGGGTTATGGTACATGGCCAGGAATGGCGTCTAGTCGTTCGGATTGGACGATTCAGTAGCTGTCCAGGCAAAAAAGAATTCCCTCGTGACAGACTGCGTGGCGTATTTCCCGCCTTCATTATCCCGGCAAGGATGCATACCACTTGGAACTGTCCGGACACAATTTCCGTCATAGTGCATTGTATGGCATATACCAGTCTACATTAATCCGGTCGGCGCAGAAACGTAGGACGTTAACCCCCATTTCATTCGTTCATTCCTAATAAAGACTCACATGGCATTTCTGATTTATCAGCTAAGAAAAGCAATCATTTGTACTTGGATTTCAGAACCCGACGAAATTGTTCTAGAAGGAATAAACACGCCGTATACTCGTATTAATGTTTAAAACAATATATTATGCACAATATTTGCTATGTGAACATTTCTAGTATTCTGTTATCATTTTTTTTTTTAAATCCATTTTTCTAATCACGTTTCATGTTTTTATTAGCATAAACGAAATCGCCATTCAAAGAAATCGTTAACGATATAATGATACCTGGTCATGTGACGTGATTAACTACCTATAGTTCAGCTCTATTCACCAACTTTTATTCATTCACACATTGATAGACTATTGATTACTGTGAATATGGCTGCTGTTTATCACGAAGTAAGTTTTTTTGTTGTCTCTTGCCACTTGATCATACCTTTTAATATATGATATAATTTACATCCAATAATTATACATACTTGAACTTGACTGTGAGGTGTAAAATTAAACGCTGCTATCCTGTTAATGCTAACAATTATTTGATGAATTCACTTCAGAAATTCGTGTCAAAATCGATATTCAATCATTGGAAGATTACTCCAAATTCCATTTTCAAGCCACCAAGTATACAATTCGTTCATGAGTTTGACATAAAGAACCGATGACTTTGGCAGGCGAGGTAAACTTTTTGTCAACATTTTGTCGGCAACAGTTTTTAAAAAAAATGTTTCTCTGTTCAGCGACAATAGATATTTGTACTTTATGAAAAGACTTTCTATTGTATTGCTTGCTGGCTAGGCAACAACTTATTGTAACTACATGTATACGAACCACAACACAAATATAATGTACGCCTAATATGCGATTATATCTAAAACTGTTTTGACGAAACGAAATTGACTACCTCACAAGTTTGCTGATATAAGTTGCAATGCTTGTATAAGATATGTAATACGGGGGTTGGCTGAAAAGTTCAAAGCCTATCTGTGAAAGACCTTAATAAAGTTGATGTTTTCCATCTATTTTTCTACAAAGTCCCCTTCCAGGTGTACACACTTTCGCCAACGATGTTGCTTCAACCACCTTTAAAAAAGTCGTTCGCAGCTGACATGACGTCATCATTACTAGGAAAACGACAAAAGTTCTTTTTTCATTATTGGAAACAAGGCTCATCTATGATTACAAGTCAGGCCAAAAAATTATCACCATGTCATGTACCTGGGTAATGTTTTCTTGAATGGTTACTGGCCTTCCAGGACGCGGGTTATCGTCAAGGCTCTCTGCCCTCTGCCACGCTTAAATTCCGCAGCCCACTTCTTTGCTGTGGGAAAAAAAGCTCCATCCCCAAAAGTGGAGACCATGTAGGCCTAGGCATGTAGCCTATCTGTGTTTGGGTTGGTCCTTTCAGTTTCAGGTACTTGATGACTGCCCTTTAGCCAGTTTTGTCCATTTCTGACGATTTCAATAGAAAGGTTCAGAAGGTGGTCTGGTACGAAGACAATAATAGCAGTACAGTTGCAGTTTTTATGTCTATGATTCATTCAAAGATTGTACTTGTTGGTGACAAAAGTTTGTCGCAACCCAATTGATCTATCTTTTCATGAATAGAACTTTTCAGTCAGCCCTCGTAAAGGTCTCTGTATTAGATAACTGTTAATTAAAAAAAAATAAATAACCATTTTAAGTCCTTTCAAGATATGTTATAATGTAGAATACATTATATTGGCTTTCAAACACACACAAAATACTTACTACTAAAATAGTCCTCCTACTACTGTCCTACCTAATAATATAATATAATAATATTTACATAAATGTAAGCAAGTGCCATAAAATATTTGCTGTTACACTTCCAACGCTGTATACAATAGAAACGTGTTATGTGCTTTATTATATCTCCCTTTTATATATCATAAATCTATATACCTATATATTATAATAGACTTATACTGTATATGTATGTATTCATAACTGAACAGAACAAAGCAGAAAATCCAATCTGCTAAAGATAACCGTATTCAGATTTTGCTGAAATTACTTAATCATATTGTTGTATTCATTTATCAGAATATTAAGCTGAATTAAATTTGAAAATAGAAAAAAAAAATCATTTGCCAATCTCATTACACTACACTATACTACACGAAGATCTAATAACTTTTTTGTCAATTATATTTTCTCTTAGGGTTCGGATTTTGGCCATTGTGATCGGTTAAAACCATTATTATTACAGGAAAAGCTGTAGCACTATGGCCCTTGAGACAATTTTGGCTCTTTATAAAATTGTCTCTTCAATTTGGTCTATAAAGTCAAATCATAAGTACTAAATGAGCGTGGTTATAGTTGTTCGTAAAAAACAGTGATGTTTTAGTTAAATTATAATCATTGTCAAAATAGTCATCAAATTCTAGCTGGGTAATGTTGCCTGTCTTGTTTGTGGGAAATATAGAGTTTTATTCCTTATTCACGTCAAGGTTATTGAAGACCTGGGAAAGTAGGGGGTATAAATTAGGGTGTAGAGGAGAGCTAGATTAGAGCTCACCCAGAAATTCTTACCAGTCATTACCATTGAGAACGAGGAACCTGCAAAGTTATTTCCAGTTTACTAATAAAGCTGTGAAATCATTGTTGCTGTAGTATTATTTACGATCACAAGGAACACAACAAATAAAGAAGTCCGGTAGTACTACAAAGCATCCTTTCATTGGTTGATAATGAAAGGTCGTTTGTGTTACCGAAGTTGACTGTTCGGTAGCATATAAACAGCATAAAAAAGAATTAAAGCGAAATAAAAGTCTACTTTAAAATGCCTATTTACTGTAAACTAAATACTGAATACTATGTTTTAATTTATTCACTGTATGTAAGTTATTTAAGTTCAACACTTATGTGTTACCAGATACTACGTGGTAAACTGCTGTAGGAAGTCGTCAGATCATCTGTAAATGTGTATGGAATAAAACATTTTTTTTAAAAACAAAACAAAAATAAAGTACGTCCAAATTTCTGAAGGACAATACTGCCCGTGATATTGATAGATTAACATTTATTGTATTTCCAGGGAACAATTAAAGGGGTGGACCCAGATAAATTCAGCGCTGAGAAGGCTGCCGAACGTCTACGAAATGCTATGAAAAAATTGGGTAAGACATTACATTATTTGGGTTGAGCATATATTTAACGATTTGAGTTTTCATAAATATTCTGAAAGGCTGGAAAATAATCAAAATACTCTGCGCTAGTGAAAGCGAGTTTAGTGTCCTATATTTCTACACCGACCGAACCTTTGAAGAAATGCATATGCAATGCTTGTCCTACGACGGAGATTGTTCCCGGACAGCGACGTTTATGCATACTCTTCATCGAATTCCAGCTCTCAATGGTTCTTTTTTATGCACGCCAACGTTCTTCCCATCTGAACACCGGTGACAAAGAGAAAAGAGAAACCATGCTGGAAAATATTGATTAGCTCCTTGATCAACACCAGAATCGAACCCCGGACCTCCAGATAGCGAGTCAGCGTGACTTGTTAGCTCAGGATGTTATAACAGCCTATATTTAATCAGCTTCCGGCATTTCTTTTTCTGTTAACAATTTCTAAATAAAGCATTTAAGTTTGACGTTTCATTTATTATATTGGCCTGTATTTAAGTTTTCTCCTAGCTGACGACCCCTTTCAGTGTTCAATGATATGTCGGTCATACTCATTGAGTTACACCAACTATAATTCTTCAAGTCAGAATAGAGAGGTCCCAAAGCCAGACAGATCTGAATGGATTATATTATGTAATATACTTGGCTATTGTAATTAAATATGTGTCAGGGGAATATTGAAATTGGTGAAATAGAATTTTATCATCGTTTGGGAAACATCTTCATTGTAAGAATTTAACCGTTTCCCTATTTTCTTCTATTATAACATACAGGCGTGGATGCAGCAGAAATAATCAGTGTTTTGGGTGATCATAATAATCTACAACGACAGAGCATTAAAACCCAGTACAAGGCGATGTATGGACGGGTAGGGATATGGTTACGCTATAAATTACAGTTATGTCCGGCAGGAAAAGTGTCTAGTCATTCGGATTGGACGAAAAACCGGAGTCCTTTGTACAGGTTGGCATGAAAGAAGAAGAGAAATGGGGTCTAACGTCCACTCGACACAAACTAGGCCATTTCAGGACCAACACATGGTTCAACTCCACTTCGCCCGCGCGTAGGGTCCTTGACTGTGGGATGAAACCGGGTGACCCGGAGAAACCCACGAGGATGGACAGGCTGCCGTACTTCCTATCACGTACAAGTGGTAAATCGAAACCGCGCCACATGACACACTCCACTAGAAGTAGAGATACTAGTAACAGAAACATTCTACGATTATGATGTAATGTGTAGGCACCATGCGTGTTAATCTTGTGGTTATCGACATTACTTGGGTTTTATTCCAGGCAAGATGTTTAGGTGACGAATCTGCGGTTTCGATCAAATCTACCCCCGGGCTGTCACCTGTCTCTCCTCCGAAACCGAAATTCATCTGCCCTCTCCACAAACACATTACATATATTGTTTTAATTTATGACTTGATATTTCTATAGGATTTAGTTGACGATCTTGAATGTGAACTCTCTGGTCATCTTGAAGAACTCTGCGTGACCTTATTGATGCCAAGTCGATATTTTGATGCTTATGGTCTTCGACACGCAATGCAGGTGTGGTAATAAGCTTTTATTTCGTTTCATGTTCTATTTGTCTCATCATTCGGGTTTAAAAGCATGATATCTAGTACCGGAAATAGACAAAACCTGTTTTTAAATATTTCATTTCAGAGAATTGGTACAAAAGAAATCATACTAACGGACATCCTAGCATCACGATCTAACCAGGAAATACAAGAAATAAAGCAAGTTTATAAAAATGGTAAATGCAAGAGTTTTATGTTATCGACAGTGCAGGGAAATCGCAAGTATAAACACCCATAAGATAAGATAAAATAAGATAAGATAAATTTTATTGCATAAAAACGCCCACGGGGGGCAGCATACAATTACATAAATTACATTTATGCAGCACAACAAATATATATGAACACTAAATCCAAATTTCCGTGTGATTTAGTAAGAACTTCCTATATTACGACATCCGTGTCCACCTGATCATAGCTCAAAGAGTGTATACAGATGGAATATCGTAAAGCAATGACGCACATGGATCTACCATTTCTTTCATTTCATGATCCGATCGATTTAATACCGACAGTTAATCAACACAGCATAAATGTCAATACTTGACCTATATGTAGCGAATATTTGAAATTGAAACTGTTAAGATCATAACGTATTAATTATTGTAAAAATCTAAAACCAATTTTAGTTGTAGACTACCATAATAAATGAGATTTTCGGCCTTTACACATGCTTATTAGTGATATATTTGTTTTATATCAAGTGGAATAAAAAGATGATATGAAGACTTATTTATTATTCGATTTGTATCAACTGGAATAAGAAGATGATATTATGATTTATTTTACTATTAGATGAGCATCAACTGGAATTAGAAGATGATATTATAGCTTATTTTATTATTAGATTTATATCAAGTGGAATTAGAAGACGATATTAAATCAGAAACGTTTGGTGATTATGAGAAAGTTTTACTGGGATTATTACAAGGTAACAGAGATGAAAGTCAGTCTGTAGATTATAGTGTTGTTGATAAAGATGTAAAAGATTTGTTGGATGTAAGTATGTTTGAGTAAATAAATATTTATTGTCTTATAATATAGTCAGGATTGGGATGAGTTAAGGGCCCGCAACAGGGTACTCGGCTTGGGGCCCCTGGACAAGCAGCTCGGGCTCGAACATTTTAAAAGATATATGGTCTCTATAGTGTCATGTTGGCGTATATACTGGGGTAACTGGAGGAAGTTGAGAACCACATATTACGAAATACCATTCTGTTTCACAGTGATTACGAAAGCCTTCTTCTAACTCTTTATTTCAATAAATATATTGAAATTTCAATCAAATTGTTTTGTTTTAGGCGAAGTTATGATTGTTTGAAGATGTAGCAACGGGACTTGACAACCGAGACTAAGGAAAAGGACCCTCAAATAGACAGATTTAGGCTAGTTATTACATAATGTATCTTTAACATAACTCATTACATTCCAGTATTTAAGAAAGCCCCTTTCGGTAGCTATTGAGTCTTTACTATTTCAGAGTGGTGTAAAAAGGAAAGGAACAGATGAAGAGACATTTACTAGAATCCTCGTCGATAGATCAATCCCTCATCTGAAAGCCATTCTAGATAAATATACTAAACTAGAACAAGATATTAAATCAGAAACAAGTGGGGATCTTCAAGCAGCTTATCTTGCAATAGGTACGGAAAACGTCTTCATTTGAATCTATAAATTACATTTCAATAGAAAAAAAAAATAAAATTTTTACCAATAATGTACATTACAAGTTTAACATCTCGTCAGCACAATACCTCGGTGATAATGATAACTTTTTTCTATGGCCACGTATGTACAGATAGGGAGGAAATCTATACCTCGTTTTTTTTAGGTCTTAACCGAACGACCAGGCTACACATTTCTTGTCAGCCTCATCAACAACTGGGAAGTGGGTTTTGAAAACTCTCAAGCAATCTAGTCAATATCCCAAATTCCTCAATTACTAGATTAAATTAATGGGTGACATTAGATCATAACATAAGGCTTGTTAAATGTACCACGGTTCAATTCCAGGTTTGTTCGTGATAACTGTTCGGTCGCCTGCTTAACCTTGTTGGTTTCATAGTGCGACCAAGCGAATTATTGAAATATAAATGTTAGTCCCGAAATGACCTGATTAGTGGTGAACTAAACTCGATTTCCCACATTTTAGTTAACGCAGCATTAGTATGATAAAAAAAAACCCGTTCACTTATGTATTTCAGTGAGATTTGTTAAAGATCCTTTAGAATATTTTGCCCGATGTTTTTATGAAAGTTTTGCTGGTCCAGGTACAGATGATGAGAGATTAATACAGTTGGTTGTTAGTCACTGTGAAGTAAGTAGGGTAGGGTAGTTTATTGGTAGCCGAAATTTTATTGCAATATCGTCCTAAAGTTTAAAACAATTCTTAAGTTTCAATGCGGCTTTTTTTTGTATGGCTTAAACAGGACGCATTCGAAAATATGATATTCCACAGGGTACTTCCTTGTGCTTCAAGGAACGACGATTTGTTAAGAACGCTGTCCTGTATTGCGTCCTGCTGTTTATAGTCCTACCGAACAACTAGACGCTGTTCCTTACGGCTATCCGCCCCGTACCACACTGATATGGGGAAACCGGGATGGAACTCCAGAGGCACTCTCTCGGGAAACACCGAGATCGAGCCGGGGACCTCCTGGTTAGTGAGCCAGTGCCATACGACCGACTCACATGACCAAATGAAACATACCTGCAAATCTGAAAAACATCTGGCAAAAACTCTGACCTGTAGAAATTGTAAATGGACTGACGTATAATAAAAAATAACCAATAGTTTCAAAATGACACTACTTCCTTTTCCCCCGAAATGGCTATAACTGGTTGATTTTAATAATATCAAATTTCCAGTTTTTCGATTTACTTGCTTATAATTAAATTTGTCCCAAATTCAGCTTCGTTTTCACCACACAAGTAAAATCCAATAACGTCTATTGAAATGTATTAATATTTAACGAGTTTAATGAATTGGGTTTTAAAGTAAGATCAATAAAATAGATAGCCTATAGAACTGCACCTAATTTATTTCTTTACTTAGTTATAAATTCTTTTATATTAAAAACTTGCATGCAGACTAGACCAACTTACAACTATATGTCTATTTAATTAATCATCCACCAATACTTAGATGTTTGTTACTTTGTTCAATCAAGTTCATTGAAAGGAAAGAAATTGTTATTCTGGTGCTAACATGCGGCTTTTTAGTTATTTATGTATGCAATGCTCATGATCAGAACTCTGACAGCGGTCTATTTGTCAGTTCTTCTTAGAATTGGGGGGTTGGATGGCTGAATGATTAGCGTGCGCGCGCGCTGTATCATAAAGTCTGTCATTGAGTCGATTGGTGTGGTTTCGAATCCCCGGTTGTACGTGACAAGGAGTAGTTTCGCCTGTCCAACCTCGTGGGTTTTCTCCGGGTCCTCCGGTTTCCTCCCACTGCTAAAGACCCCTACTCGCAAGCGAATTATGTAAATAAAATTAAACCATGTTAGTCCCGAAATGACCTAGTTTGTGTCGAGTGGACGTTAAACCCCATTTCTCTCTCTCTTCTTTGAATTACATGGCAAAAGATCTACCGGTACATGTCTTTAGGTGCTTCCAAATGAACCCATCTCAACGAACAAATACGCCTCCCTTGCAGGTCTCACAGACAGTAAACTGTAGTTGTAAGATGATTTATTTAAAGGAATGTTCTCCCAATCAAACACAAATAATGTTTGCCAATCGTCTTGATATTTTTAAAATTATATAAATCCAAAAATAACACTTAGTATTTACGATGAAATGGGGTTTACACTTTACTTACCTCATTTTGACGTTTATTATTTTGATATGTATTGTTATATGTGCAATGCAAACGGGTGGGGAGCAGGGACAGCGACGTGTTCTTCTTCGATTTTCGAAATAATAAGTCCTAATAATAATTGATAGGGATACAACTAAGTTTTTCAGAGTGAGTCAGGATTTGGGTGAGCTTGTAGAAGATTCGTCGATCTGATAAACCTGTGATCTAGGTTCATCGTCCAATCAGAACGACCAGGCATACTTTTGTCACCCTTGCACTCACTCCCCTGTTAGAAATAAATGTAATTTAACAGTGACAATACTGCATAAATTTACAATTTTTAAAAATTGTAATCAACAATATGTGTCGTTTTGCAGTGTACTAACTGGGAGAATCATCTTTTAAATCTTCCAAAGTGAAAAAGCAGCACGCCATGATTCGAACCTGAGGCTCAATATTGTGTACAATAAATTGTTTATATATTTGTTGCAGATTGATTTGAAGGATATTGGTCTGGTATATCAGACACTATATAAACAAAATTTAACTGAGGCTATAAAAGAAGAATGTCGTGGAGATTATGGCAAATTATTATCCAAAATAATCACGTCCAAGGATGATATGATTTTATCCGAGGCGTAACTACCAAACTTTTGCTCATAATTATTAGAAAAAAAAAAGTTTTGTATATAAATTGTTATCATCAAGATTATTAATTAAATATTTATAAATAAAAAGACAAGGTAAAGTGATAAACGCCGTTTTTCAAAGCTCTAAGTCGTTAGTGTTGAAAAGGTAGACAGTTTCATAGTTTCAGATAAAAACAGACTATTATTATATCTACAAAAATAATGAGATTACGCAGTAGAATAAATTACACGTGATAAAAAATTAATATGCAGATGTCGAGAATAATCGATATCGTTATTTTTAAATATACGGGGTCTATATATTTAGTTATTATTATTACAAGTGTATTTGTAATAAAGAAATGAAAAATAGCCTTTTAAAAACAAAAACCTCAACCAAACCGTGTGTTATATTGGTCTTCAAATGCAGATCTTATGTAATGTACATATAGAGAATTTCATAGATTATGAACCCCAGCCATTGTCATTTGTTTATGTTCTATTCATAATCTAATAGTTTTTAAAAAATGCACTCGAAATCCAGCTCATTTCTATTTTTATTAGCAAACCAGAAGACTCAGCCAACAGCATCCCGCGACTACTTAGGACATGCTTTGGAAGATGCAGCAGGCGGGGGGGGGGGGGGGCAGTCCCAAAAAATTAAAAGCTCAGTATATTACATATTATGCGTCGCTATTGATTCCATTTTGCCATCATTTTTCCACTCTGCTGTGGTCTTATACTATCTCATCACTATCATATTCATGGTTATAATCATCTGGCCAGTTGGTAGTAGTGCGTGGTGTGACAGACTGTTCAAATATTCTGTCAACTCTCACAAAACAGGTAGGTCTCGGGATTCTGTCCTCTCGCTCACAAGATTTTGTTCTCATCAATAAACCCACATGGCCCAGTTCCAAAAAATTAAAAGCATACATATACGTCGCTATCACATTTCTTTTCGCGCCTACGGCCATAGGCGTACGGGCTGGATGACTGTTAGGGGGTAGAGCTCGGAATGCCCGAAAAAATTCGGGTTAGCCCCCTCCCCCGCACAAAAAACCCTGACGACCGCAAACGCGTTTTCCTGCTATTCTAGCCCGTGATACAGCAACTTCCAAGTGGTCTAATAGGTGGCTGACTCGAATTCTAAAAAACCAATCAATCGTTTTCTGTTCACGGAAACGGGACCGTCGGGAGAAAATTTTAAAAATGTAACTGCCGCAAACGCGTTTTCCTGCTATTCCAGCCCTTGAATACAGCAACTTCAATGTGGTCCAATATAGCCTACCTTAGGTGGCTGGCCCGAATCCCAAACAAACAATCATCGCGGGGTATGTGGGCCTCGCCCTCCTGGAGAAAAGTTTGAAAATGTAACTGCCGCAAATGTGGTTTTCTGCTATTCAAACCCGTGAGTTAAGCAACTCCAAAGTTGTCCAATGGTTTTGCAACCGAAATCCCACTCAATGCCGACCTGAATTCCAACCATTCAATCAAACTTTTGCAGCTGCATTCCTAAATAATAATCGATGCCCAAAAATGTCGCACAAAGTAGAGTTACTCCAGACAAAATGTTTTAATCCATAGTCAATTCAGTACAAATTCGTGGTATTCAATTAAAAGAAAAGTAAAATTAGTGTTTTATTAGATTTCAGGCACTCTATTTTGCCAACAAGATGAATGGGTTTTTTTTTTTTTTTTTTTTTTTCACTTGAACCGTCTGCCCAAAATGACAGATTTAAACATAAGATTTAACTATTTTATATGTTTGGAGAGAACTTACATAGGCCTTTGCACGTTGTTCAATCCAATTCAGCTTACTGAATAAAATATTGTTTAAACTATCGTAGTTTAAATCTAAACTGAAGACTCATCTGTTTAGTAACACATATAAATAGAATCATGCGCCTACCATTGTGTAAATGTGACTGTGCAGCGCTTAGAAATAACTATTGTTATAATGTAGCGCTTTAAAAATGAAATTGTAAAAATAATAATAATCGAAAACTATAGAAGGCGTTGTATTTGAATATTAAATATTAATAATCGTATTGTTGAAATTATCGGTAAACTGGAAACCCATGCATTATTAGCTTAACTTAAAATCAATAAAAGCATCGGTTGAATCAGTTGTTTTATAAGTTAAATCTTATAAATCGCAAAATTTTAATACGGGTTTTTAACCCTTTAAAGTTCTGATAAGTTAATATTAACCCTCTGATTCCGAAAATTATTGTGAATGTTATCACTTTCATTGTTTCTACTTCCTACATTATTTTGTATCGATACTTATCGCATCATAGGAGATATTGTTAGACCTGTGATCTGCACTTTATGCCTGATCAACATGAATCATTCATTTGAATGCTATTTCCGGGATTTGAAACGAATGACTGTCTTACAGCTTGTCATTCGAGTGTAGCTATGTCAAGTCGACACGCCTGGCATAGTTTAGTTTACATTTATTCTTATGGTTCGCTCTCATTTAAATACTAACGCGGTATAATATTGGGCTGATAACCTAAGTCTATCAATGTAGTGACCTCCCTTGTTAGTCTAGATTGTCAAGTCTCTTGTATAAGTAGCACGTGGGAGTAGACTCAAAAAGATGGAGATGTCAGATGAACTGTTGTCATGTTTTGTGTCATAAATTCTCTGGTTGCATGTAACATATGTTACATCCCTACAAGTTACGAAAGAGTGGACCATGTCGACAGGAGCCATGTGGTCGTAACAATGTCATCATTCATCCATTCCTCTGTGGTCTTATATACTATCTCATTACTATCATATGAACCGCCAAGTTAGTGCGCGAGTCATGGCGCGACAAACGGTACAAATGTTCTATCATTTCTCACAACAAAACAGGCAGAATTGACAGGCAGATTTCGGGATTATGTCCTATTTCTGTTCCTCTCGTTCACATGAATGACCTGAACTGCCAAGAAATTGACTCAAATTTTCAAAAATTTTCTCAGGGAGAGAACCCCACCCCCCCAATCAACCCTATGTCAACTGGCATAAAATTGTTTTCCGGCAAGCTAACGATCGGCGAACAGCTATTATAGGCAATACGAACTATGTTGACATTCGTTGTGGCGTGGGATTGTGGATGACTCACTAGATTTGGAAACACCTACCCATTTCGCACTCTCTAGATCCCCTACTGAGGTGCAGGCATAGATAAATCTATGAAAGGGGCCCATTTCAATATTAACTTCTGTGGGGAACTGTCGGTAACTCATAAGTAAACATGTTGTCATGGGCACATAGTCAGACCGTCAGTAGCGAGACTGTAGTCAGATAGTAAGTGCATATATTTAAGAGTGTCGTGTTAACGAGATTCAGGGATACGTTAATACCATTGGTTTCACAGGTGTATGCGTCGTTAGTTCGCCTACTCATTGGATCGACGACCGATTATTTTGACAGAGTGGTTGTATGTTGACCGATAACGGGAAAAATAAGTACAAATAATTTTATGTCAAATAATGGATCTAGTGTATAATATTATCCTCTCATATTTTTGGTACACCATTTTTTACAAAATAATCTTTCAGCATGGCCATTGCCTTGCCTCTATGGGAGATAGAATGTTTCGCCGATTTGTCCATTTCTGCGTATGTTTTGTCAAATCCCTGGGGCATAAAACACGGATCCCAACCAAAATTAGCCGGACCTCTAGGTTCTACTATGCTACCATCACAACGTCCAGAAAATATTTTTATTGGGACACCTTCTTCACCGCTAGAATATGCATATGTACACAGAGCATACGCAGTTTTATCATCAAATCCCGATAACAATTTATATAGACCTGAAATAGATAAAAAGGCAATTCTTATTAAAACATATGTAACCAGTGATTTGTTACAAGAATGGATATTCAAATTATGGGTAAACTATAAGATAAGAATGCATTATGTCGTAAGTTCTCCAAGTCCAACATGATTTATTACATCAATACTCCTGTACACCACACAGTTTTTTGAAGACTTTTTCACAAGATGCTACATGGGACTTTGCAAAAGTGATACCCGATTTTCATGGGGTCTATCAAAATTCAAGATCACCCACAATTTCTATCGAATTTACTACATGATGTAATTTCTACAGGCCAGAGTTTTCTTCTTTTCTTTTTGCAATTGGTTCAACTGATGAATTCTATATTTTGGACTATAAACTTATATATACCTTTTTGAAAATCTCTGGAGATGTTAAATAACCCACTCCAAAGTCTCGTTTTTTTTTTAGATTTAGTACTTTAGTATTTAATCGGTGGACATATCCATGGATGTTTGATAATGGTCAACTGGTTGGCCTAAGAAATAAAACCTGCCAATCATGTTTCAGATACATATAAATTTATCTCAACTAAATTTTATTTTTTAAAATCCCAGTTAACCTACCAGAAGGTCCTAAATTCTTCAAGAACCATTTGATATAGGGGCCTGGTAAACCACCCAAGGCATTAAAACACAGACTAGTATCTTCTACAATAACTGGTCCCTTAATATGTTCTATTGCTTGGTGACACTTGGCTTCTGCTACTTCTATAGGTTCGCCTTGATATTCTGGTAAATCTATATCTTTACTTAAAATCTGAATCACGAAAAAACATAAGTAATATAAAAGTACTTTCATTTAATAAAACCAAATACATTTGAATGAAGCAATAGAACAGTTTTAGTTCTGGGGTAAACGATTACTGTAGACCTTCAATAAGTATTTTTAGGAGGAAAAGGGGATCACTTGAGCACAGATTACAATTGTAAGGGTAGAGAAGCACTGGGCTCTACAACTATCCTGACTGTCTGCTTCAGTCACTCATATTATAGTGGCATTTCACGGGTAGCTACTGATTTAAATAGACAGAAACATGGTGTTTTAGAGATGAATATCGTTAACATGTGTAGGCATATATTTTATATCAATACCTCGTATGGAAATGTAGATCCTAAAATTTGTTTGAATTCTTCTAATTTTTTTATATTTCCAGTTACTAATACCAGAGGTTTTGCCATTCTTAACATCCAGTCTACAGAGACTAATAAAATCTTTCAATCTTCACCTAAAATGAATAAATAAAAGATAGGTTGCCAAGCAACTAAACATACGCCCACATCAGCTAAGTCGTGAATCGAGCAGTCAACAAGAATTGTCGCATATTTTTTCTTTTGTTAGTAATGAAAACATTTCCAACACACTAAAATCTGATAAGGAGTAACAACCCATTAAGTAATTATCAGAAATCATTATAATTTGTTTTGAATGTTTGTCTCATGACCTTAAACACTGTGTATAAATTTATATTAACTTTAGCGCCCACAAGACTTTACAAGTAATCAAGGGTTACTTATCGGAAATCAATTGGCTTCTTCATCTCATGACCTTAAACAATATGTATAAATTTAAAGTCAATCGGCTATTAACTTTAGCCTCTTAGAGTGTCCGCAATATTTTTCAAAGTGAATAAGGGTCATAACTCTAGCAGTAATTATCGGAAATCAAGGGTCATAACTATGGCAGTAATTAACTGAAATCAATAGACTTCTTAGTCTCAGAACCTTAAACACTGTGTATAAAATTGAAGTCAAAAAGATATTAAAGGGCACATAAGATGGGCAAGGAAACTTTTCGGTACGTGTAGCCAATGGTTACTATATCCACTTTAGGGCAAGTTCACACCAATCTGATTAAAATTAATTAAGCTATCTTCACTCAAAGTCGCAAAAAGAGAATTCCCGTAAAAACGACTTTGCCAATTATCGAAAACACTCTTAATCCCCTCAGACGCCAGTGACGGAATGTTTATTCCTTAATATACCTATAAACAGTCGGCGTGTGTATTCATTAACGCCTGATTGATTCCTTAATCCCCTAATTAAATAAAACAATTGACTACGGAATAATTTGTTTTGCAATTTATTTTAATTTCAGATCCAATTTAGAATTTGTTTTATAATGTCCCGCCCTCTCTTCTTAATACTGTATTTTAAAGTGACTATTTGATAAAGTCCCTCTACCACCGTGTGCAGTCCAAATGATTCGAGTTACATTTCCGTCAGAAGAGTACAGGTATTGTTATTCTATTTTCCCAAAGTACAGGAGTAAAAAGATGTGGTCATGCAAAATGTATCATAAAAGTCAAACATGATTGAAACGCGATTTGTAAATGACGATCCGTTATCAGAGTAGCCAACTGTATCTCGTTTTCCTGTAGCCATCGTACGGCGCCTTTCTTTCTGCATGTGGACTTGACTTCGTTACTCTGAAATAGACGGTAAAAATGAAATACGAAAAAAATAACTCAATATACGTTAGAATTAACAGTACAAATAAATTTTGTTGTTAACCATCTAAATCGAATAACAGATTGAGAAGGGTCATCTAACTATCTTTGTGCATTAATAATAAAGTGGCAAGTGTAGTGTCGTTAATATACTCAGCCAAATTAAAAATTTTACACTCGGGATTTTTGGGACTAGATTTTTAATATTTGGTTTAAGGCAACTATTTTAGGGTTATGTTGTGTACAGACGACCTTGACATCAACAGAAAGCAAGAATACGTCTCGCCGAAAGTCCTTGACATTGATAACGTTCGTGATGTCACAGTACACCCCAAGATGAAATTCACAGACTTGGAGAACAATCGGAATAAAGTGTTTAGTAACAGTTGTGGCCTCCTCTAGCGTCTCGTACTGCCACACAACGTCTTCTCATGGATCTCAGAACATTAGTAAACACTACCCGAGGAAGACGTCGCCACTGCTCAGCAAGAGCATGTTGAAGGTCCTGCAACGTCAGTGGTGGATTCACTTGCTGACGAACACGTCGACCCAGTTCGTCCCAGATGTGTTCAATAGGATTAAGGTCGGGGCTAAGAGACGGCCAATCCAGGACTTGGACACCGGCATTTCTTAAAAAAATTCTCGGTAGCAATTGCTGTATGGGGTCGAGCATTGTCTTGTTGAAACGTTAGTCCAGGCCCATGTCTCTGCATAAACGGAAGAAGAACAGGTAGCAAAATCTGATCCCTGTACTGGACAGCATTTAAGTTCCCTTGGACAACAACAAGAAGAGAACGTCCATGTACACAAAAAGAACCCCAAACCATGACGCTGCCGCCACCAAATCGGTCAACTTCTCTGACGCATACTTGAGCGTAACGTTCACCTCGTCTGCGGTACACTCGGACCCTGCCATCGGCAAATCTCAAAGCGAATCGAGATTCGTCATTAAAGACAACCGAATTCCACTGTCTTTGAGTAAATCTTATGTGTTTTGTGGCCCACACAAGTCGGTTACGGCGATGAAGAGGTGTCAATATTGGTCAATATTGCAAGCGATTTCGAACAGTTTGTGCAGTTACCCTTCCACCAAACATCTCTCTACTTGTGGAGGTTGCAGTGACAAATCTGTTTCTAAGATGACGTAATCGTATTGCTTGATCTTCCTGGAGTGACGTCACACGTGGCGCTCCCGCCCTTGGGCGGTCGGCAATAGTTCCAGTTTGAAGCACTCTCATTCTAAGATTAATTATTGTCTGGCGTGAACAATTAAAGGCTCTTGCAACAGTGAACCCAGACTGACCAGCATAGAGCCTACCTATAGCACGTAGACGTTTTACATTTGAAAGGCGCGGCATTTTCTAACAAAGATGAAAATAACAATTTTAATTTTTTTTCCAGATCAAGTTACGTGTGCGTGATCAGTTTAAGCAAACTTGCATCGATTGACCTCACGAGTTTGTGTTTGCACGTGTTTTTCAGGTTTTTCATCTTTATATGCTCAAAAGTCACGAGATTCGAGTATTAAATACAGCATTTGTTATACATTTATCAATCCATGTTTTAATTAATAACTCAACTTCTTGCAAGCAGGCTACCTGTGTTTATATGTGAAGAGCCCCGTGGAAGAACGATCTAAGTCACTTTTTTAATGAACCCCAGTTAATGGCGCCATCTGGTAGCAAATTGTATAAGCTTTCTGTGGAACAATCAATTTCAGGTAAAAACGATCAGAGTGACATCGAACCAAAGCCCTTCTGAAATGGCCTCCCGGACAAATATGATGTCCATCGTACCCTTTATTTGACCTTAATTTGGCCGAAAAGTGGAAGTCAGTTGTTAAGTAGGCCTATTGATAATTATGATTCGTATTAAACATCATTTTGAAGTTGTAATTAAATCCGCCCGTTGTTCTGTTCGCGTCAAGCATTCTCGTCCAAAGTCTGTTTTGCCTTTTATGCGAAAAGACAAAAATGTGACTTAGAACGTTCTTCCCCTGGACTCTTCATGTATGTAGGCCCTATATGTAGGGATAGAAGAACATGGCTATTAGCTATACCAGTATTCCTTCAACCGTATTACTGATACAGACACAAGTTGGATTTGTTACCACAGTGACATTTTTAGGGAGTGGGCTTATTATATACTATTCAAAAAAAGTAGGGGATATTTGATTTTTAAGTGTTATTAAAGTCACCTAATGAAACTGACGACGAAACAAATGACAAAATGAAATGAAGTTCACATTCATCGATTTATTCCAAATGATCGTTAGACTAAGTAAGGCACAGACTGACCATTATAAGGGTAAAATGATACCCGGGGTCAAACAGCAAAGTTACCACAGCATCACAACCAAGTCAGTAACGGGTAAATCCTCCTCTGTTTGCCAAACAAGCATTGATCCGACGTGGCATACTCCTAATGAGACGTCTAAGGTCATTTTGGTCCAGATTGTCCCATTCCTGTTGCAACGCAGCAGCAAGTTCTTGGACATTGGCAGGATGTTGTTGATGTTGACGTAACCTCTGTCCAAGCATGTCCCAGACATGCTCGATGGGGGAGAGGTCGGGACTCAGTGCTGGCCAAGGTAATGTGGTGATGTTCTGTTGGAGGTAACCTGTAACGATCCTGGCCCTGTGACATCTTGCGTTGTCATCCTGGAAGATGAAACGGCGGCCATGACGTCGTGCGAACGGCACAACATGGACTGCCAAGATGTTGTCCCGGTAGTACTGGCCTGTAACATGCCCTGCAACAACATGTAAAGCCGTTCTTCCAGCAACAGTGATGCCTCCCCACACCATAACAGAACCACCCCCAAATCGATCATGTCTGATGACGTTAACGTCTTGGAAGCGCTCGTTTCGACGACGCCACACCCTCCTACGTCTGTCCAAAAAATCAACAGTGAACCTTGACTCATCTGAAAACATCACATTGCTCCAGCGTCGATTATCCCAGTGTTGACGATCCCTACACCAACGACGTCTTGCCTGAATGTGATGATCTCTCAAACAAGGGATCACGCGAGGACGTCGGGCGCGAAGGTGACCCCTATGCAGTCGATTCCGAATCGTCTGGCCACTCCCTCTCACACCAGTGTCTGTTTGAAGACGAGCGCTGATCTGATTTGCTGTGATGACACGATTTCTCAAGGCCAAGGTACGGATAAATCGATCCTGGGCTTGAGTTGTCGCCCTTGGTCGACCTGAGCGTGGTCTGTCCTGTACAGATTGTGTATCACGGTATCTGGACCATAGCCTGCTTATGACAGACTGAGAAACATTCATCGTCCGCGCCACAACCGCCTGTGTTGTGCCGATCTGTAGCATGCCAAGGGCACGTAACCTTTCATTTTGGGTAAGCCGACGCATATCAAAATTTGTTTTCTGGTCACTAAAACAATTAAACTGATGTTTCCACCCTGGAATTCAATGCCACAATGACTGTAACATTCAAAGTCAGAGTCGTGCAAATCTTGGGTTGGACCCCCATGATGATCCCAAGCATCACCTGCATTCCATGCGGTAGCTATTGGTGCGTTTGGGCGTCACATGTAACTGGAAATGTTTCTTCTGTTAGGTTCTATAGTGACTTTTTTCGTAGTCATTTGCATATTTTAGTATTATGCCCCCAAAATCAAATATCCCCTACTTTTTTTGAATAGTATATGAATACCGTTCAGACGCTTATTTTAAAAACAGTTCAAAATCACCTGGATTTTTAAGACAGGATCGTGTTGCGTTCACACGTACTATAAGCCAAACCAGTTTAACTATTCTGACCTCTTCGGTCGGAGTTAACTACGCATGGGTAGCTTCACATTCTGTATTCGGTTCTCGCAAGCTTTCGAAAACACTGGCACTGTCTGACACCGGGCATTTTCCCAGGAATGTAACTTACTGCGTACGGCGCATGCTCAAAGCGAGCCGGAGACAGGGTTATTAACCCAACCCATTCAGTCGGCCATGCTGAACCAGTTTAAAATAAAAAGCCTTCCCGAAGACAGGTCGCGAGTTAGGGTTTTTAAACTGGTTTATTTGTCCCACATTAGCATTCAGACCACAAAGTTAAACTGGTTTAATAACCCCCAGGGCTTTTAAACTCGATCAACGGGCTATTAGAGACAGAAGGATAGCAGAGTTAACAGGTTAGTTATGGTGGCAAGTACGGCGAATATTTACATGTTTTTATTATGCAACTTCAAGTTTGTGTATCTCAAAAATTTTGGTGGTCAACCTCATACAAATTTTACTAAAATTTTTAGTGCAAACACATTGACCATTTGTTTCTCTGTAGTGAAATCATTCAGCCCAATGAAAATTTGAGGAAAAGTTGGAGCTGGGGAAAGAGACAGAATTAACATTGAAGTCTGGGAAAATTAAAGGTGGTCTGCTTCCATCTTTGGAGGCAGACCACCATTAAATTTCATCATCTCGGTACCCACGAATTGTAGTTCGTCTATATATAGCAATTCTCTCTATCTTTCTTTTGTCCCCTTTTGCATGCCGATTTGTGTTGATTTTTTGGTCTAGAATGGACGAAGAGGGTTTGAATTAACATTTTCTGCCAGGTTTTGGTAAATATTAATGATTTTGAGGCCGAAGGATAAGAGGGTTATCAGGTTAGCTACGGCGATATGTACGGCAACTAGTTACATGTTTTTAGTATGCTTCTTCAAGTTTGTGTATCTCAAAATTTTGGTGGTCAACCTCATACAAATTTTAGTGCAAAGACATGACCATTTGTTCCTCTGTCTGTAGTGAAAAGCATTCAGCCCAACGAAAATTTGGGGAAAAGTTGGAGGTGGGCAAAGAGGCCAGAATTAACATTGAAGTCAATGGGGAAATTAATGGTGGTCTGCCTCCTATATGAAAACAACCTGACAGTGGATGAAAGGCCTAAATTTGATGATATGATCTCCAAATTGTCAGAAAATGTGATATATGGCATTTTGATGGTAAAAAATGTGAAATGGTAAAATTTCAAAAATATTTGACAAATTTGGGAGGGGAAATTTTGATTTTAGTCAAAATTTTGTGATTTTCAGTGTTTATTTACTTTTCAAAATTAGTGGAAAATATTTTAATGTATGATTTTTACTTTTTCTGCATTATAATTGTTAGACGGGAAGAAAGTATCATAATTTCACTCAATTTTGCCTAAAAATCATGATAAATTGTCTGAAATTCTTCAGATTACCCCCAATATTGCTGTCAAAATTTTAATTATTCATCTGTTGTAAAATGAACCAAAATGTCTTGCATGTCTTTATTTTCATTGTTAAATAACTTGGCAAGGATCCACGTGTTTGTCAGATATTGAAAAAGTATTCATATGTTTGTCAAAAATTTAAAAATTAAGAAATTTAGTCTAATTATGTTCTGCTTAGGTGTGTTAGAATTTTCAAAACATGAGTGAACTGCATTTTGCTGCTGTTTTCCTCCGGCTTAACACAATTTTAATCTTTTAAAACCTGAAATTGTTGCATTTCCCTTCTCGAGAAAGTAAAATCTATGTGTTTGCAGGGAAATTTATCTGTCTTCATTTCATTTAGACTGGCTCACCCTCCCCACCCCACCCCTTTTCTTGAAGATGATATGTGGATATTCAATTGAACATTTGTTGACTCCAAATTAGCAGTAATCTGATTTTGTTACTTGAATTGTAACCGAGCATTTTATTTGACACAAACAAATAGTTACATATAAGATTTCAAGGATTTCTAAGACTTTTTGTTTATGGTCAAACATGTAATCCTATGACATTTCTTCCAAATGAGTCCACACCCCAAAATGGATATGTTGTAGATGTGTTTTTTGCAGCTTAATGTTTTACATTTTGAATGTAAATCTATTATTTGTGGTGATCTTTGAAAATGTGGCACTTACAGGGCAATAAAATATTAATTAATAGCCTTTTCATACCCCTTTTATGCTTTGAATTATGTCAGAACTCCCTTTTTCCATCTCATTTGTCAGGACATTGATGTAAAGATTAAAACAACTTGCTTCCATATAATATTTACACTATGTAATTTCAAGGATACCTCTGATTGTTAAAGTATTTTAAAAACTGAAATATTCCCATTTTCTAAAAAAAAATAGTGCTTTGCGACCCTTTTATTAAAGTGGCTGGTTGTCACCTAAATACAGCATTTATTTTACATTTATCAATCCATATTTTAATAAATAATTCATACTTCGTATAACAAACTGTGTTTGTATGTATGTATATAAGCCAGGGATAGAAAAACATGGCTTTTAGCCATATTCCATCAACAGTATTACTTATGTGGACACAAGTGGGATTTGTTACCAAACCAACATTTTTAGAGGGTGGGCTTACAGGTTTCACTATAGTTCCTTACAGTTACCTTCAATGCAACAAATTTGCAGCTTGTCTTCCTGTATACCGGCCAAGGTTTCTAGAAATAAATGCTTTTCATCTCAGACTTTCCCAGAAATAGGGAAATATTAGCATTTTGAGGCATACAAAGTGTCAAAAATGGACCATTTTGTAGAAAAAGGTAAAAGAAAGTCAATTTTTGAAAAATATTCCAATATTTTGAATATTTTTGATGTGACTTGTCTGAAACTCTTTAAATCTTTTCGCAGAACTCACATTTCGACAAAATTAAGAAAGAATCTTCAATTCTAGAACAAAAGGCCCATGGACCTGAGCTGCAATCCGGTATACAAAACACTACATAACTTTAAAGGGTCACCATTTCTGCAGTAATTATTTTTTTCTGATTCTGTATTATAATAATTTTGCAAAAATAAATGTGAAGCTATAAAGAAAAGAATTTTGATGATATATGAACTTATAAAACCATATAGGAGGCAGACCACCATTAAATTTCATCATCTCGGTACCCACGAATTGTAGTTCGTCTATTTATAGCAATTCTCTCTTTTCTCCCCTTTTGCATGCCCATTTGTGTTGATTTTTTGGTCTAGAATGGACGAAGAGGGTTTGAATTAACATTTTCTGCCAGGTTTTGGTAAATATTCATGATTTTGAGGCGGAAGGATAAGAGGGTTATCAGGTTAGCTACGGCAACTAGTTACATGTTTTTAGTATGCTTCTTCAAGTTTGTGTGTCTCAAAATTTTGGTGGTCAACCTCATACAAATTTTAGTGCAAAGACATGACCATTTGTTCCTCTGTCTGTAGTGAAAAGCATTCAGCCCAACGAAAATTTGGGGAAAAGTTGGAGGTGGGCAAAGAGGCCAGAATTAACATTGAAGTCAATGGGGAAATTAATGGTGGTCTGCCTCCCTTTATGCTAATGGTGTTACCTCCCTTACAACCACCCGTGTCGAAGATTCTTCTATGATTTGTTTGACCCTTTATAGTACACAGAATTTCTATTTGTTAACTCCATAAATGGTTCTTATAAAGTAAAACATCAATATCAAACTACAAATAATCGTATCATCGAACTTACACTGATAAACATTCGCAATGATTTGATTGCTTCGTTGAATACGCACAAGATTCAGCGATAAACAGGGGGAACTACTCTGAATGTAACTAGTTGCCGTAGCTAACCTGATAACCCACTTATCCTTCCGCCTCAAAATCATGAATATTTACCAAAACCTGGCAGAAAATGTTAATTCAAACCCTCTTCATCCATTCTAGACCAAAAAATCAACACAAATGGGCATGCAAAAGGGGAGAAAAGAGAGAGAGAGAGAATTGCTATAAATAGGTCTGCCTCCTATATCAGACAACTCGTCGTGTAACTACGCAAGCACAAGAATTTGACCATAAAAATGTAGGGCCTGCTGGTTCGACACATAGACATACTACCCATGATATGTTAATTATATCATTATCACAATTTGAAGTACTGGTAGTTATGTCTCTAGCCTAACTCAATTCAAAATCTTCAACACTGAAAACACGAATTATTTGTCACAAATCAACGTATGTATACTATTCAAAAAAAGTAGGGGATATTTGATTTTTAAGTGTTATTAAAGTCACCTAATGAAACTGACGAAGAAACAAATGACAAAATGAAATGAAGTTCACATTCATCGATTTATTCCAAATGATCGTTAGACTAAGTAAGGCACAGACTGACCATTATAAGGGTAAAATGATACCCGGGGTCAAACAGCAAAGTTACCACAGCATCACAACCAAGTCAGTAACGGGTAAATCCTCCTCTGTTTGCCAAACAAGCATTGATCCGACGTGGCATACTCCTAATGAGACGTCTAAGGTCATTTTGGTCCAGATTGTCCCATTCCTGTTGCAACGCAGCAGCAAGTTCTTGGACATTGGCAGGACGTAGTTGACGTTGACGTAACCTCTGTCCAAGCATGTCCCAGACATGCTCGATGGGGGAGAGGTCGGGACTCAGTGCTGGCCAAGGTAATGTGGTGATGTTCTGTTGTTGGAGGTAACCTGTAACGATCCTGGCCCTGTGACATCTTGCGTTGTCATCCTGGAAGATGAAACGGCGGCCATGACGTCGTGCGAACGGCACAACATGGACTGCCAAGATGTTGTCCCGGTAGTACTGGCCTGTAACACGCCCTGCAACAACATGTAAAGCCGTTCTTCCAGCAACAGTGATGCCTCCCCACACCATAACAGAACCACCCCCAAATCGATCATGTCTGATGACGTTAACGTCTTGGAAGCGCTCGTTTCGACGACGCCACACCCTCCTACGTCTGTCCAAAAAATCAACAGTGAACCTTGACTTATCTGAAAACATCACATTGCTCCAGCGTCGATTATCCCAGTGTTGACGATCCCTACACCAACGACGTCTTGCCTGAATGTGATGATCTCTCAAACAAGGGATCACGCGAGGACGTCGGGCGCGAAGGTGACCCCTATGCAGTCGATTCCGAATCGTCTGGCCACTCACTCTCACACCAGTGTCTGTTTGAAGACGAGCGCTGATCTGATTTGCTGTGATGACACGATTTCTCAAGGCCAAGGTACGGATAAATCGATCCTGGGCTTGAGTTGTCGACTTTGGTCGACCTGAGCGTGGTCTGTCCTGTACAGATTGTGTATCACGGTATCTGGACCATAGCCTGCTTATGACAGACTGAGAAACATTCATCGTCCGCGCCAAAAACGCCTGTGTTGTGCCGATCTGTAGCATGCCAAGGGCACGTAACCTTTCATTTTGGGTAAGCCGATGCATATCAAAATTTGTTTTCTGGTCACTAAAACAATTAAACTGATGTTTCCACCCTGGAATTCAATGCCACAATGACTAACATTCAAAGTCAGAGTCGTGCAAATCTTGGGTTGGACCCCCATGATGATCCCAAGCATCACCTGCATTCCATGCGGTAGCTATTGGTGCGTTTGGGCGTCACATGTAACTGGAAATGTTTCTTCTGTTAGGTTCTACAGTGACTTTTTTCGTAGTCATTTGCATATTTTAGTATTATGCCCCCAAAATCAAATATCCCCTACTTTTTTTGAATAGTATATGTTGTAATCTTACCGGGAAAAGATAGGCTTCTGATATCCAATATTTAAGACAAAATAAACATGTTACCATTAGTAGCCTACACGAATCGTGTAGCCTAGTCCGAAATGACCTAGTTTCTGTCGAGTGGACGTTACCCCCCCCCTCTCTCTCTCTCTCTCTCTCTCTCTCTCTCTCTCTATTGAGCATTGTTTGATCAGGAAGTCGGGTAACCTATCTTGTCAAAATTAATGTTGGGATTCGTGTGAAAGAAAATTCGTCCTCGAAGTTATGTTCGTTTTCACCAGGGTACAGTCAAACTAATATGTAGATTATATTAAGACACTAGTAATATAACAGTGATAGATTACTAAAGATAACAATTTAAATATAGGACAGATTATATCTTAATGCAATGTAGGCTACACTTGTTAATTAGATTTCTATAGCATGTGTCATCACTGATTTGAAATAAAAGTATGGCAACTGTACTGGAAATTAAGGGACTGGTTGCTGCTACTTTTACACCATTTACTCCAGATGGGTAATGTATTAATAATATATAAATTTATATTAGATGGGTAGGACTATACAACTTTATATCAGATGGGATGTGTATTCATAATACACAATTTTACCGGTACACCAGACTGGTAGCGTGTTCATAATATACATCTTTATATCAGATGAATAATGTATTTATAATATACATCTTTTTATCAGATTAGTAATATATTCATACATACAACTTATGAATATCGTGCATCACTATGTCAAACTAATTAAACGCTTTAAATCTCCTTAGATCACCACCAAAACTACCATGTACAAAGGTAGTGCGCTACTATATAGTTATTTTTCGAAAGCAAGCCAACTCAAAATTTTGTATACATATTATGGTCTCAGCATCGACATATATGAATATCTACCGTTATAATATATTGTATGTGTTTTGTACGTTCTTTCCAAGGGAGGGATCTTTATCTTTCGCGCCCTGTAAAATATGTAAATTGAATATATCCATGATCATTGTTTATGAAAGCGATTTTACATATAAGCAGTATTGGTTGTTATTGTATCCATATATAGTATATAAATATACTAGACGGGTAGTGTATTCATATATATAAATCCAAACTGTCTTGTTTTTTATACGCACACAATTTCATGTTTACGTATTATGTCGTCACCCCTGTCCCTCATAATATTATCAAATGTTAATGAAACTTAAAATATATATGTTGATATCAAAAAAATCTCGCACATATCGGACCGTAACTGCCTTGATTATTGCCCCGGGTTGTAGGACAAGTGCGTTTTTATTTTGGGGACCCTCTAAACGTCACAATTGTTAGCCGATTAAAATATATTATAATTATATCCCAAAGATCTCGTATGGGTTAGATTTTAGCACGTTAGGACCGTAATTTCATGGATTATTACCCCTGTCAATGGAGCCGTTACAATGGAGCCTGTTTCTTTTACGCAAACAGTGTCAAAGCATCTAATATACATTTTAAATTTTCTAGAAAATCAATTCTCTTTCTAGAATCATACTTAAAAAACATAAGTCAGTGCACGTCTGTTAATGGCATGTTATCTGAGAATAAACCTATTTATCACGGTGCACCCCATGGATCAATATTAGGACCCATATTATTTAATATTTTTATAAATGATTTACCTTTATACCTATCCGCTAAAACTGACCCCTTTGCGGATGACACAACCATCTACACCTCTGAGTCTACTGTCAAAGAGTTAGAACACAAACTTCAACTTGACGCCAATAATATACTATACTTTATTATAGTATTAGCCTGGTGTGATAAAAACCATATGAATTAAATATATCGAAAACAAAAACTATGCTTATAATTACGACGCAACAAAAACGAAATATCCTCCCTGCTACTTTGAATATTAAATTACGTAATGAACCATTAGAAGTCGTCTTCTCGGTAAAAATATTGGGTGTTTTTCTCAATCATAATCTAACTTGGAAAGATCATATCGAGTATATCTCTAAAAAAAATTAAGCCGGAAAGTTTTTCAACTCCGTCAAATTAAAAAATATCTTCCAACTCCGTTCCGAATCCTTTTCTATAATGCCCACTTTCAACCACATATAGATTAGTGTTCCCCAGTATGGGACCGTTGTGACGCTAAATCTCTTGGCCGTCTTTCTCGACAGCAAATCATGGCCTTAAAATTAATCTTAGATTTAAAACATACTGCCGACGTTTACCCTCGACTAGACAAATTGAAAATTTTGACAATAATAAATCGACATATCTGTAATCAATGTATATTTATCTATAAAATTCTGCCCTGATTACTTATTTGACCTCTTACATTATTATCAACTCCTTATAATCACCTTAACAATAAACTTACTACTCTCAAGCCAAACATTAATATAGTTAAAAGCAGTATACGCTTTAACACCCGATTAGATTTTATTACATACTTCGAGAAGGTATTTGTTGAGTAATAAAACATTCTAGTGTAGTTTATCGAGGGCTGGCCATCCTTACCGCACGTCACAAATAAAACCTTCTAGTAGTTTATCGAGGTTCGGGTGCTTCCGGAGTCCAAAATGACCGCTTTATATAAATGAGAATTTTGGGGATAACTAACCCGAACCCTAACCCTAACCCTTTTTAAAAGACTGAACTTAGGTCTAATTTAGTGAGAGGAAGAATGATAGCGACATTCAGCGTCCCTTAACCGTCCGTAACGAAGTTAACGCCGCCGGACCCTGTTTACGAAAACCTCGCGAACTCAATATAGTTTTTAACAGTTTTTTTTTCAAATTAGGTGTGAAGCATTGGGATAATGGGAGGTTTAGCCCTGTCGATTTTCTCTGTTCTCTGCCTTCTATTGCAAAATGTCGACATATCTTGCATAGGAACCGCTTGTTAAAGTTACAATTTCATATTTTTAAGTTATATTTTTAAAATGTATTCAATAAAGCCTTAAAATAGATGGTATCTATAAACAGTCCTACCTTGTTAAAGAATAATCCTATTAATCCTATAATTCACTATTGCAAGTTGAGAAATTGGCAAAAATATCATTTTCAACTTCAAATTCAAACGTTTGAAGATAGCTATTTCGTGGGGGGGGGGGGATAGAAAAACAAGGGAGGTAATTGTGTTATTATTTCCGGGGTGAATGATTTTAAAGTGTGAGAATGATACCTATGATCGTATAATAGTGAGTTGACTACCTATTGAGCAAAAGACATAGAAATAATTATGTTTTGACTTTCTTAAAAAATATGAAATTCTCGCTTTAAGAGAAAGAATCACTGTAAGTGCCTTTGCATTTCAGAGATCTTGATTTGGGAAAGATTGGGAACTATGCATCGTTTTTAGAAGAACGAGGTGTGACACAGTTATTTGGTAGGTAGCTTTTGGAACAAAATTCAGAATTAGGCAACATAGCTAACAGATATTTGGTGTACTTTTGCATTAAAAATGTATTATTGTAATAAACACGAGACAACAAATGAGCGGCACGATGTGCATTATTCGTTTTTACATTAGTACTAGTATTTTATAACAGTGAATGGTACCACAGGTGAAGGTATATCTATGACAATAGAAGAACGGAAGTTAGTAGTTGAAGAATGGGTCAAAGTTGCTAAATCAAGGTAAATATACATTTTTTGGTGTAAATTTGATAGAAAACGACTTTTGTGAACAGTATGTTGACACATTAGTGATTAATTCATCACAATTCCAAGACATTACGAGAAGGTTTAGAGTCTGTATACAGTCTATACATCAGTATCAGGTGTGTCCACCGCGAGTGTCAATAACAGCAGCGCGGCGTATGTACATGGAGTGGACCACACGATTGATGAACGCCATTGGCACCTGGAACCACACTCTCAGGAAAGCCTGGCGCAATCCATCGGCTGTGTTTGGTCTCGGTACGACGTTATTAAGTCTCCTCTGAATTTCATCCCAAAGATGTCCAATCGGGTTTAAGTCCGGACAAAGGGCTGGCCAGTGCATAACGTTGATGCCGTTCTGCTGTAGAAAGTCCCGAGTAACTCTGGCGGTGTGGGCACGAGCGTTTTCATGCTGGAAAACTTTGTTTCGATGACGTGCGAAATGTGGTATGACGTGGAGTCTGAGAGCTTGATCGATGTAGCGCACTGCTGTGATGCCGCCTCCTCTCCCTGGACCACAGGACCTACTTTCTGCTTCAGGCCGATTCCACCCCAAACCATTATCCTTGGACCCTCCCCATGAGTCCCATTCCATGACACATTGGTCAGAATAACGCTGGCCACGTCGACGCCATATTCTGCTCCTGTCATCTGCAGTTGATACGCAATACCGACTTTCATCTGTGAACAGAACAGTTCTCCATTGCCTGTGTCGCCAGTTCTGGTGTTGTTGGGCAAACTGTAGACGTTCACGTTGATGGCGAGGGGTGAGGATTGGTCCACGGTAAGGTCTACGGCAATGGATGTTCTCTCTGGTGAGGCGTCGGCGCACTGTATCGGTTCTGACGGATCTTCCGTGTGTTCCCACTGACTGACGTGCTGTCTCAGCTGCCTGTGTGAAGGGATTCTGCACGTGCTGTCACACAACATGACGGTCTTGTCGCCTTTTGGTAACCCTTGGTACACCAGTTCGGGGGCGATCATCCGTGGTGTTGGTGGCCCGAAAGCGTTGCTGAAGCCTGTAGATCGTCCGACCATTGACCTGGAAGTGATTGAGCTGTTGTGAGTCGTGGCATGCTGCTGACGTTGTAGTGTGAATGATTCAACCAGGTATGGTGGTGCATTTTATAGGGTTGGTCCCGGTGAACAGCACGTGCAGTATGAGTTACATGAAAATCATGGAGAACACATTACCATCAGTCCCCGAGTTCACAAAGCATTCTCAGGCTTAAGTTGAGAATTTACTCATCTTTCAGTCACTGTTTATGAGAAATATCTTTGATCCAGAAACACAAAACTTTGCACATAATTTCTTATTGATGCATTTGATACATTAAAACAGCAAAAGTTTTATAAAGGGCTATATTAAAGTTAAAATAAGGTGAACAACTTTGAGCAAATTCTTAACTTAAGTCTGAGAATGCTTTGTGAACTTGGGGCCTGGTCAGGTTGCGTATTTGAGAACATTTCCTGGGTTAAATTCGGCTTAGTATATAAATGACTTTTTTTCAGCTAATGTGAACAATAGATTATTGAAAACCTGGTGGAAATCTGCGATGACGAAATTTGTTTCGAAGTGTCCTTCAACATGAATCCTGTACATGTAACTTATGAATAGTGCTATATAGCCGGGGCAGAACCCCAAAATACGTGACCATTTATCGGGGAGAAAGGTTTGAAGATGGTTTCTGATAGAAGGGACGGTCAGATCTAAATATTAAGGCCACCTGCAGATTTCTTCAAAGTATCGAGATAGGGTTGGGGCACGTGATTGTTGATGAGATTGCGGGTTAGGTTTAAGAATTTGGGGGAGAGCACTGACCTAGGATGATGAAAAATTAGATCGTGATATTTCCTAGTTTTATTAAAAGTACATGCAATACATTAGATTTATATACAAAGATGATTTCACTGTTTTTTGGTGTTGGTGGCGCTGATGGTCTTCCTTGAATGGTGCTTCTGGTATTCTGGTATTTTTGTTTCTGAAGAAAAAAGAATAACATCTGAGGCTCTCCAGTGTGTTTCCTACTACGAATTGGATTTTCTAAAAAATGTGTTTGTTCCACATCACCGGGTTAGGGCTAGGGATTCTTATATCAAGTTGATTTTATTTGCTAACGGTTAGGGTAGAGACTGGTCTTATTTAATCTAATTTACTGTGCACTAGGATGTCGTTCAGATTTTTGTTTTTAGAATATGCAATTATAAGTTTATGTGTGAAGATTTTCGGGTGATTTTCTTGGAGATCAGTATAGTGTTTTCTGATGATTTTGGATGCACTTGCTGCTTCTGCGCTAAATAGAACTACAAAAGGGGCTATTGCGATAGCCGTATGAATATTTAAACTTAGGGGGCTGTTCTTTTCAATTTGTCAATCAAGAATTTTTCTCTTGTTAGCCTAAACGTTTTAATTTCTTCTGTAGTTTCAAAGTCGCTCTTGGTCTTGTCTATTGGCGTGACAATGAGATCAGAAATGTCATGATTTGGTTGGTTGAAATGAATTGAGACCGGTTTGTCTTTTTTGGTGACTTATGTCTGACCGGTGACAGTTAATTCTTTCCCTAAGTGCATTCTGCGTCTCCCCTACGTATTGTTTGTCATCTACATGAAATTAGATAAATTATGTTTGAACTACTGCATGAAAGTTGATCTAATATTGGGAATTGTGTGCCAGAGTTTTTGTTTTGGAAATGGTCGGATATGTTTATGATTTTGCATGTTTGACATCTTGGGTGACCACAAGTTTTGGTTTTAACTGCTGATTGCATATTATTTGTTTCTTTGGCGGAAAGTTCAGCTAAAGTGTTCTTTTTTTATACGCCTCTGATTGCAAACACAACTTATTGGTCAATTTAAATCAAAATCTTAACGTGAAAAGATGTGTTTCTGGTATCCAATATTTAAGACATTAAAAATTTTAAACTTGGCACACGAATCGCGTGCCAGAAAGCTTTCGAGCGTCACATTTGTAATGAAGTAACTTGATGAACAAGACTAAACATATCCCACAAGGGAGGACTACCGGAGTAGATTGGAATAACCAAACGCCAAAGACTACCATTCAATTTGCACTCTTCGCGTATTTCGCCGAACATAACTGATTAGAAAGTACAGTAAAAACAGAAATGATTGAATGTAAATCATTTTATATACAGTCATATTACATTATTATATGCGTCGCGACCCATATGCGTCCATTTCTAGGAGCCAAAGAATAGCGATTTAGCTCCTTTAAATCATGGGCTAGAATTGCAGAGTTTAAATTTTCAAAATTTTCTCCGGGAGGTCGAGCCCCCCATACACCGCAAAGGCGGTTTCGCAGGCCGCGGCTCCGAGGACTTAACGATTGATTGGTTGTTAAAATTCAGGTCAGCCACCCAAGTTAGACTAAATTAAACTACGTTGAAGTTGCTACATTCACGGGCTGGAATAGCAAGAAACGCTTTTGCGTCTGTTAAATGTTCAAAATTTTCTCGCGGCGGTCGCGTCCCCCGGACTGTAAGCGATGACTTTTTGAAAATTAGTGAGTATTGCCACTGGTTGACGGAATCTAGAGTAGTGAACTTTGATCCCAATTATTTAATTGGTATTATTATATCTTCTGAAAGAGAATCGGTTTCTGAGTTAGAAATTGGAATCAGACCAGTTATTTTTAAATATTTTCCGCGTTACAGGCGCCTGTGGTAGCAACTACAAATATCTTTACTATGGACCCTTTTATCAGAAACCATCGCCAAACATTGCCCCCCCCCCCCCCCGGGAAAAGGTTGTGCCTCGACTAACAGCGGCATTCAAGATTTAATGTTGATCATCGGTCAAAGCGTGAGATTAACGCATTCTGATGTTTGAGTAGTTGCAGTTTTGATATTTGATTGTACCCGTTTTCATAAGAAATTTGTTATCCACACTTTTTAAAGGTTTGAATGACAATCAAAATGACTTACCTTTAATTCTTTTATGTACATAATTTGAATTATCAAAACATAACTGTGATAATTGTGTGATTAATGCTTACAGAATGTTGATTGTTGTTCACGTCGGATGTGCTTGTCTGCGGGATTCACAAGAACTGGTAATAATTTAACTTTTGTTTTAAGTTTAAGTCTTCTAATGTTCAATATGCTATTAGATAAATAGAATAGAATGTGATAAATGAACTTATTCTTCCTCTCTTCACAGGCTAGACATGCAGCTAAATTAGAAGTAGATGCTATAGCATCTATGTCACTGACTTTCTTTAAACCAGCGACAGTAGGTAATGAAACATTTTGAATGTAATATTTATTGGAAATTAGCTTCATTTGCATTGTGTTGGAATGGAATTATCTGAAATGTCCCCGGTTCTAATGGTCTCAAATGGAAGCCGGTAGTGTCAAAAGTACAGAATGGCTAACCCGAACTATACCTATTGAGAGAGAGAGAGAAAGAGAGAGAGATAGAGAGAGAGAGAGAGTGTTTAACGTCCACTCGACACAAACTAGGTTCAATTTTATTTCATTTGACCACAGATTTAGTCTTGTTTTTCCACACATGATATAAAAGCTCAGTTACCGTAATACTTTTGAAAACATAAATGTACATGTTTATAAACCATACAGAAAGTCCATTTCCAATTTGTTTTCTCGTAGAACGATATTATCTCACCTTTCGGGTATTTCTTTTATTTCAGACAATCTGGTACTTTACATAAAAGAGGTAACAAGTGTGGCACCGAATTTACCATTTTACTACTATCACATACCTTCAATGACTGGTGTTAATTGTAAGTTTATTGCATCTAAGGCCGTGTTGAATTGATTCCTTGTTTCTCCTGCCACCACTCTGGCAATCATGTGCGGTAGTGCGGTAAACACAACACAAAGTGGGTTTCAAAACACAAAGTGGTCTGGCATAATACCTATATAGTCTGAGGGTTGTGTACCATTTTTAATAATATTATAAATAATCTAGTTATATTATTGGTTAGAATAAAAACACAGATAATATTTAATTAAATAAATTTAATAACAAACTAAAATTTGGTAACAAGTGGCTTCTTTGTTTAACTTTTTAAAAAATGAAATAACCATATTTTGATATAAATTTTCCGTATTCTTGTGTTAAAATACAATGGTAACATTCCAGTTATAATTTGATTCGCTTGTTGAGTTATAGATGGTTTCGATAATATCATCGAACGTGAAAGTGCTGGGAATAACCACCAAAGTCGAGTCGAGATAAGTAAATTCGCGTACCGGTCGGCCTAATTTATTTATTGATGTTCAAGGAAATAATAGTGGTCCCGTTTGTTCGTTCGTTTGTTAAACTCCAGAAACGAGCGAACGGGGCCACTATTATTTCCTTGAACATCAATAAATTAGGCCGACCGGTACGCGAATTTACCTATGTCCCGGCATAGCTCACCATTTTGTAAGGCGTGCGTTATTTATTACACAAGATATGATTGGGTAATACTTGAATAATAATGACACGGGTTATAATTTTAGCCAATGAAAAAATTGATTATTCAGGTTCGCGGTTGAATATTAGCGATTGTCTTACAGTTTATAATATGCTTTCTCATTAGCCGAAATGACTGCTACACGCGCCATTTTGCGGAATTCATCCAATCATATACAGTGTGACTTATTCCATAGTATGCGGGCCCCTACATGTGTATTATCAACCGGATCCATTCACTTGATTTGATATTTGTTTATTCGGTGCAATGCCTATTTTCTGTCTTGTCCGCAGGTTTATCTTGTAGATTTTTGTTTTGCGTGTAGTGCGGCCCCCTGCACTTACTTATTTAGTTCGTAACGAGGAATAAACAACGAGAATTGACTTCTGATGTATGGTAGAATTTTATTTAGATGTTATTAACGTAATTTTTTGAATATTTTTTTTTGTGTTAAAAACGTAAGCGCACGATTTTCGGGGTCCTCGACCTAAGCGCGCGGGCGAGGAGAAACAAGGAATCAATTCAACACGGCCTAATGGATATAAATAGGGGTTTAATCCCTCGTTATAATAATACGACGGGTAATTTGTGACCAACACCCAAAGGGGAATTTCGCAGCATATATTTCAACTTGCTTTGGGGGTCTTTTAGGTGTGCTACCGGAACTAAGTTAATGGGCAGCGGGGGTGAAATAAAAAATAAATAAGTAATGCATCAGCAAAACAGACAAAATTAGCACAGCTTTGTTAGATTCCAGACGACATAGAGTAGTTACGTGTATCTTTTTGTGCTTTAAAATGTTTATTTCTTTTGCTCTGTTTTATTTGATTTTATACTAAACTTTTAGTGGCGCTAAATATCATTATTTGCTTGATAACGATATCTGTATGTGTATCGAAACGTAGCATGTTAATAAATTCAGAAGTAGTATATCCATACAAGTGTTTTTAATTTGTGAAATCTACTTCTTTATGTCTTATAAGGATTAGATTATATAAAAAAAAATTTTTTTTTAAAAGTATCCATGGTAAAGTTTCTGAAACAATGTAAAACCGAAGTTCCATCTCTACGTGGTATTAAATTTAGCCATAAAGATGTGAGTGAAGCGAGCAGCTGTAGAAATGTTGTCGATCGTCATGGTAATAAGTATTCTGTGCTATTTGGAAATGATGACGTAAGATTTTATTTTTTTGAATTATGCATATACACCAACCTACCATTGGATTGATCGCGGCGCTTTTTTTACCATTTGTCACTGTTTGCATCGGTAAACAGTTTGGCTCGGATGCGTCTCTAATGAAACTACATTTGGCTCTCCGTTTTACATCATGGCAGGCCTTCGTATTTTATACCACCCGAGAATTGACGAAGCCCATTGCCTTACTTATAATTTTCTTGTAATATATTATTTTATCCAATTCTTTTTAAATCATTATCATCATGCTTACTGAGTATTATGTAAATCTTCAATTTTACTCCCTAAAGTGTCAAGATTTTGTTATCTCGTTTCGAGTCAAATCCGGTACCAATCCGCGTCACTGGTTGTTGATTATATGGTTAGAGTATCTATACAAATATAGCCTACCTCAATTTGTAACTCGCTTTTTATAGCTCCACATTTTACTTTGTCACCCCACCAGAAGAAACACCAGGATTTAATTAGCTAATTTTTTATCATTGGGAAAACTGACTATTTTATGAAATTCCTTCTTAGTATACCCAGTTTAACATTCAGTGGCACCAAATGTAAATTGAGCATAAACAAACCTTAACATTTTTCAGGAATTCCTAGGAGCTCTAGTACATGGAATAGAGGGTGCCGTTGGTAGCACTTATAATTTCATGGCAGCAGTATTTCACAGACTGATAAAAGCCCTCGAGGAAGGAAATATTGATGTAGCTAGAATAGAGCAGGGTCGGTCAAGAGATGTCATCGTAATATTTTTAGAATATGGTAAGTGTAATTACGTGATACATGGAACCCTTCAGCGGTGATTTTAGACACGCCATACTTATCTTGTTCTTGTTCTACGTCTTGGAGTAACGCTCTTCGAAAAAACCCTAAGACTCCACCAATTCAACTACAATCGTATTGCGAATTGATAGATGGCACAATTCCAAGATGGTGGCGATGACGTCTTCCTCGGTTCGTACTTGTTAATGAGAACCAGGAATTCAACAGGGTTATTCACCATGTAGACAATGTAGACATATAACTGCAGTGGCTTTTTAAAATGACAAGACCTTGTTTTTTTCTTTGCGTATATTATTTAGGAGAGATGTTACCCTTAACAGTATTCATTTAGTTGATTTGTGTCATTTGTTTAAAATTTATTATTATTTTTTTGCAGTGAAATACACTTACGGCTCTGTTGGTGCACAGAAGGAAATAATGTCGTTGATTGGTCTTGATCTTGGACCACCGCGATGTCCAATGAGACGTTTACCACCAGAAAAGCTGACAGAGATGAAGCAAAGGCTATCTGATATTGGGTTTTTTAATTATATAAAATAGACCAGTTATTTTATCCATCTATCCACGGATGAAACACATTTCAGTATTAAAAGTCATTATAAATCTACTGATGTGTTATTTCGGTGTATTCTAGAGATCTAAATTAAGTTCCCAAGAAAGTGTGCTGTTTAATAGTGCAAACCTAGATCTAGAGTTTTGAAAAACTACAGATGCTAACTATTTAATTTAACTTGCACGTTCCCTCCGTTTGATAGAAATTATTTGCAGCATTAGCTGGATTCGTTGGTTCCAAATATTTACCCCAGTGTGAATATCAATATCAATAGTATCAGATTCCATTATTTTAACTCGGTATGTTTTTTTCTAAGCTTTAACATCCTTAACCATAAACTTCCAATATGTCCCAGGAGTACCAGGAGTTGCCTTTAAAAATTAGCCCATCCATTAATAGTTTAAGAACAAAAAAAAAAAAACTTTTGCATAAAGTATTTTATTTTTTTTAAATGTAACAATTCTCTTTATTAAGAGTTAGAATCACTTCATATTATTTTAGTTCTCAAAGACCAAATTATCGTTTTGATTATACGTCGAAAGCAGCAGTTCAGCTCAGGGTGTCTCGGTTTAGGAATTCTTTTGTGGAATCTTTATCACCACCTGAAGAACAAATATTTATAACAATTATAGTATCTACAAAATATTGTTGTGAACGTAACTCTTTTTTCAACATTATTGTTACTTAAACAAAATCGAGTAAATCTATTTAGTGAATTTAGTATTTTATTTTTCAAAATTCATCTATTATTATTGTCTGAAGATACAAACAAAGAATTTGTACACCAGACCTTTTTTTATGTGAGATTAATTGATTTAGCATCCGGACGAAAGTCTCTTGTTGTGACTATCATTTCTTGTAAAGTGAACGATGTGGGTCTGCTTTTGGTCGAATGTAATATTCAAGAGATATTCAATTCAATTGAAACATAATAGTAAATATGAGATCCAGAAGTTTACAATTCTTCATTTGTCTAAAGGAATGGACGGAATAAGAATATGCGACTTACATTTTTAACCTCGAGATATTCTTGCAGACCATATTCACTACTGAAATATTCAAATAGCATAACATGAATGATAAGTTAGATAATAGACAGAATACTGACAGAACAAACAATAACAAAATACAACCCATACACATCTAACAAGCGCATGTTATATTTTTTGTAAAACATACTAGATTCTTTATTAAATAAAAACACACAGGGTTCCTAATATATATTAGAACAGAACCCCATATCTGGTTGGACTTGATTCAGTCTGCATCTAGCGCGGTTTCCGTTTTCACTGCAAGGGTCAGTTTTCGTTTTGTAACTATAACAAATAAGGTGTCGTGTAAAACCGGGTACCTCGACAAATCGTGACACAGTTCCTACAAATTATAACCTTGCAGTACACATTAATTTAATGTAAAAACCCAGCATACTTACTATTCTCTACCAATACCGGACATTTTAAATCCACCAAATGGAGCTTGTGGTGTTATAGCTAGATTACAGTTAATCCTTAAATAAAATAATGTTACACGTATATTAAAGTTGAAATAGGCAAAATCTTAATAAAGGATCAATCTAGTAAGCCAAAAAGCAGGAAAGGGCATCCACTTACGTGAAGTGAACCAAGCCTTCAAACGCCCACGACGAGCATGGTATATCAACACAGTAAATCATAATTACCAAACTGATCCAGCTTGAAGACTGTTGGCAAACTTTAATGCTCTATTGATATCGTTAGTAAATACTGCTGCTCCAAGTCCATATTGTGTATTATTAGCTCTTTCTATAACTTCATCTTCGTCTGAAAACTTCAAAATCTGTTGAACTGGTCCAAATATCTGTTAAAGCAAGAAAAGGTGTATAGGATGTCCAAAATGATGACCGAAGAGTGGTACATGAATATGAGAATGTGATCACCGGATCTCTCTAGCGTCTGTCTGTTTCTACAAATATCACGTGGCCAAAAAACCACAATTTTGTGCATAAAAAAATGATTTGACACCATCAAATCCCGTCTTCATTAGCCCAGTCGGTGCAGAACAAAAGGGCGTTAAACCCCATTTCGCTTTATTTCCATATGCAAATATTATACTATTGTACTTTAATATTTTACTATTAAAATTAGTTGATGTTATATAGATTGTAAAATGATATATAGATAGTCTTACCTCTTCTTTAGCAATACGCATGTTATCTTGTACATTAGAGAATACTGTTGGTTGAATATAATAACCTTTATCACCCATCTTCTCTCCACCACATTCTACTTTAGCACCTTCTTTTTTACCACTTTCTATTAATTCTAATATCTTCTCAAACTGTACATCATCAATCTGTAAAAAAAAACCAATTCTTTTATAGTATTTCTTTATGTTGCAGAAGTACCGATATCTTGGTCATCAAATACATGAATACAAAACGCCCGATATCTGCAGGTATTAAACTTCATACAATTAATTGAACGTAAACTTATCGGTAGCGCTTTTAAGGACATTGGAGTGAAAAGCAAATTTAAGACGAACCTGTGGACCATTTTGCGTTTTTTCATCAAATGGATCTCCAACAATTCGATTGCTAGCCATTGCAGCGCTTTTCTTAACAAATTCATCGTAAATAGATTCATGTACAAATGTTCTGGTTCCAGCTACACAACACTGACCCATGTTCTCCATTACGGCAGCATGAGACCAAGCAACAGCAGCGTCCACTGTAATAAATCAACACTTAAGTCAACTAGGGTTAATTAATAACAATGGTTTCATTCATTTTGGAAAACAATAGTAATTGGCTCACAAATATTGATCTGAAAAATACCTAAAGCAAAACCATTTGTTTATCAATCAAGGTTGATCATTAAAGATTGTTATAATATCCTCAGTAAACCTGTAACAATTAAGGTTGAATATTAAGATTGTGACTATTTGTAAAAAAAAATCTGATATAATTCTTATAAAATGCAAGGTTGAATGTTAAGATTGTTATAATAGCTGTAGTAAACCTGATATATAAACAGTAAGGTTGAATATTAAGATTGTTATAATAGCTGTAGTAAACCTGATCTATAAAAATTAAGGTTGAATATTAAGATTGTTATACTTATAATATCTGTAGTAAACCTGATATATCAAAAGTAAGATTGAATAATAAGATTGTTATAATATCTTTACTTGTATAGTGGTTGGAAACTAAGTTCGCAAAAATGCCTAGAAAATACCAAGTGTGTTAAAATGTCAATCAAGAAAATATCTTCATTTATATATCCAAACGTGACTGTGACATAAATATTTTATGTTTGTAACTGTGGCCGTGGGCCTACTTTACTGAAATAAACATATTATTATTATTATTCATTCATTTTGGAAACTGGTTAGACAACTTACATTTGATATGAACACATTTTACTTGTTGGTTTTGTATTGAAACCTTTTTCAGCCTACATACTATTATTAATAATACCTAAATTATGAACTTCTTAGAACCCATTCCCTCCACTAAATTGCACAAGATTGCCAGCTATATAATTGCATGAACTATATTGTCTTTAACTGTGAATTAAAGGTGTTCTACGTTTCAGATATCTTGATTATCTGTGGGAAGTCTGTTCCTCAAATCTCCATATTTGGTTTGTGATTAGGGTATCACTGTTAACTATAGCTGATCGGAAGATCTTATAGTAAGAGATGGTTGCCAAAAGAAGAACATATCTTGAAAGTAAACTGGGCCGAGATTGTGGACTGCTTTGAACACAAAGGTTATTAATCGGAATTCGATCCGGGCACGAATTGGAAGCTAATGTAAGTTTTTGACAATTGGATGTAATATGTTCACGGATACTAGAATGATACTAGATTGTAATAAATCTCGCAATCCAACAGAACAGAGAATGATTAGAACAAGAATACAAAACTTATATTTAATCGTAAGGCCCTTTACAAAGAGATAAAATTAAGTTGAGAATCAAGATGGATAGAAAACGGTTAGCAACCTAAATATAACAAAACCAGTGGAAAGTGGTATGAGATGTTCCGGAATAAGTAAGTACACCGACACCGACACAAGTTAAATACTTCGTAATATAGAGCCTGGGATTTTAATTCACAAAAGGATGCACAAAAGTTAATGATACAGCACTAAAATATGATAAATATAAACTTACAATCAACATCTCCAAAAACAATATTAGGAGATTTCCCACCCAGTTCTAATGATGTTCTCTTTAAGTTACTCATACCCGAGGCTTGTTGGATCAACTGTCCTACCTGACGCAAAAGAAAATTAGATCACACAATATAAATTTCAAGTTGGCCCAATGCAATGCTATGAAGGCTGGGTCGACTATGAACATACTAATGACAATATCTATAGCGTTCGACCTCTCAGGACCCCAATCCTTTACACCAAGTTTGAAAAATAAATCTTTTAATAACATATGCACCAACACTGAACAATTAGAAGTGGACCATCATGCTAACTCCTAGTTAACAAAGTTTTCAAGAACTCGAAAAATATAAATCCGATTTTTTCCTGGAAAGAAATAGTGACCCTGAAAACTGTGACCACTATCGTGTTGACAAACATTACAATCAGTGTGGATAGTTTTCGGTAAGAATGGGCTGGCAAGAAACAGCATCTCGTCGTTCGGGTGGGATGAAAACCCGAGGTCCCGTGGACGTGTTGGCGTGCACACAAAAGAACCCGATCAAAATTATGCAGAAACACACATTGCATCTCATTATTCAAGTTGGTGCAGAAAAGTATGACGTTAAATTTAACTTAAATCCAAAAATGTCCGTCGAATTACCTCTGTAGACCCAGTAAAAGACACCTTATTGATATCCGGATGATTTGTAATGGCAGCACCAGCAGTTGGACCATAACCTGGTATTATACCAACTACACCTGGTGGAAACCCAGCCTGAAAAATAAATAATATAGAAACTTGTAATAAATGAATCAAAATCAATCAGGGTGTATATCAAATGAGAAACCGCTTAGGTCAAACGTCATGGCCACACTTCACCATCAATAATCTCCAGATCGGTATATGTTTGGAGATTATTGGTGCTATACCCGCCATGCCTATTTAAAAGACCTGGTCAACTTACGGGGTTATTTATTGAAGAAGCACAAAGAAAATGTCCGTTCTAGCTCTTGTTATAAGCATATCCATAGCGATACTTATAAAACCGTATACAACCGTACAATTCTACTGAACCCTCACAGCGGGCTACACCATATCTGAATTATAGGGAGGAGTCAAAAATTATGAACCCATTTGATACCCAGTTCCACCCACCCCCTATGTTTTCATATAATTATCCATTGCATTTTTGCGAAGGATTACATATCAAACTAACGACTTGACATCAATATTGGATACCAGTTTGGGGGGGGGGGCATGGGGGTGGGGGTACAGACTGTCGGGTAATGTAAATGAATAAATCAAATTATACAATATGTCTTTACCTCTTTAATCAAGGCGCCAGCATACAAAGCGGTTAAAGGTGTCTGTTCGGCAGGTTTTAAAATACTAACGCACCCAGATGCTAAAGCTGGTGCCAGTTTCAAAATAAATAACATGAACGGGTAGTTCCACTGAAAATCAAGGAATAAAGATTGAAAGTATGGATGATTTTTCTAGAAATAAATAAGGGCTCATTTTTAGTTGATATCAGTTATCATTCTTGTTGCAGGAATAATTATGAATGAAGACATTATTTTTAAATACAACTTAAAGACTGTTTTTACTTTCTATATTTAAGTATAATCTGAATAATAATCTAATAAATTTGAGTAAATAAAGTGAGACTAACTTACAGGAACAATTTGTCCACAGATTCCAACAGGTTCATGACGTGTATAACAGAAATAATCACCATCTGAAATATTAAAATAAGTTTTGTTTTACCATCTTTCGAATTTTAAAGGATTTACATATGTTCTTACGTTAGATATTGAGCAGTTGGAAATAGTCACTAAATTATGGTCCTTTTGTGTGTTACTTTCGATTTCATCTCCTTTGTTACCCTTTTTTTTTGGGGGGGGGGGCTAATTCTGAATATTTGTTCTTATCTTACTTTACTTACAACTACACAGCGTAAAAATGAGTTCTTTCATAACCCTTGATTTAAACCACGATCAAACAATTTGAATTGGATATTGTGAATATAATGTATGACGACGGGTTTAGACGGTATAATTATATTATACATATATCACATATACTTACTGATTGGGATGGTTTTGCCTGTTATTTTATCTGCCCATCCAGCATAATAACGTAAAATATCTACAGCAAAACCAATATCACCACAAGCGTTTTTATATGGTTTACCATTATCTATTGTTTCTAAACTCTACAAAATAGTAAAAGTTTGATTACAGAAATTGTATATTGCTGGTAAACTTTACATAAGCTTCATTAAAGAGGAATTACGTAAGAGCTAAATCTGTCTGTTGCAGGTATCCCCCGTGGTATTATTCCGCTCTACTCCACTAACCTCTGGGTCCATTCACGGGATAATCACGAATTCAAATTATCTACCCTTGCTGATTTCATTGGTCACGTAGGTTATTTCTACGAACAAATCAAAAAAAGAGATTACATACTAGTCTTAGTATCATTTTTTATGTTCACCGCAATATAGCAGCTTGTGCGTTCGATTATGAGAAGAGAGAGAGAGAGAGAGAGAGAGAGAGAGAGAGATGGGGTTTAACGTCCACTCGACACAAACTAGGTCATTTCGGGACTAACACATGGTTCAATTTTATTTCAATAATTCGCTTGCGCGTAGGGGTCTTTAGCAGTGGGAGGAAACCGGAGGACCCGGAGAAAACCCACGAGGTTGGACAGGCGACCCTACTCTTTGTCACGTACAACCGGGGAATCGAAACCCGCCAGTTGACTCAATGACAGACCGTATGATACAGCGCAGCCGATTATGAGAAAGTTTGCAAGAAATTTTAAAATATAAAAAAAGTGACATGCACACAAGAAGATGTCCTAAAGTATTTTGACAAAGTTTAAAGCAACGATTCGGTGATCTTAGTTTTAATAAAATGCGAGTTGTTCCCTTAGCTCACTCTCTTTCTATTTTTGATTTGCCGATAAAAATAGCACAATTATCAAGGGAGGATAATTTGACTATGTGTCGCTCCCGTGAATGAAACAATGGGTTTGATGGAGTCGAAAGGAACGATACCACTGGGGATACCGAAGATGTTTTTTATTTGGCTTCAAATGTTATATAAATTGTTATTTAAACATTTATTAACATGCCAAGCCCATAATCAACTCTCTGGACCAGCGGATGGCTGCGATTTTGTGTAGATTAGAACACTGCGTTTATTTAAGAGTTTAACGATAAAATAGATAATCGAGACTTTTAACTTCGCATAAAATAAGGTAATTTGACTGAACTTTTCAATATATTCATTTGTCATTATCTATTTGTGACCTATTATAGCAAGAACACTCAGCTCTTTAACAGCATCTTGCTGAATTTCTTCACAATTCTAAAGATATAGGTTGAAAATTTCTCCCAATTCATTCTTGACTATAGATTTAGATAACAAGTTAAACATTGGTCATGTGACGATATGAATGGGCTACTATCATATTCACTGTATATTACATCAAAGTACATGAACATGTCAGTTGGGTCTTAAGCGTACAAAGTTCAATTTATCGTAGTCCGTGACCTATCTGACAAAACACCATAGTCATATTTCATATTTGATCGACGATGGCATGCCCAAAGTAATCTGTCATGAAAATTCCGTCGTTTCATTTTGAAATAGTAACGTAAAATTTGGGCATTATGAGGTTATGGGTGAAAATGGGGACCATCAAAAAAAGGCCAAAGGTTTTGCTCAACTTGTAGAATTTCTTACATATTTGAGCAGCGAAGTTTCATGCTCAAGTGAAATTTTCACAGATAACCGTATGTGTACGTTTTTGTTCGAGCTGACGGCAAGTGCGTGCGATAATCAACATAAAAAAACCCATACACCTAGGTTCCTGCTTAAAAGGAAATATGACAGTTGACAATGTACCATCGTCTCCAAATTACGTAGGCATATATACACACTGAGCTTTTTAAAGAGAGAAATCCAACACCCCGTTTGACATCAATTTTTATTATGAATTAATAGGATCACATTGTGATTCAATTTCATTAATCAAAAGCATTAATTGTGATATCACTGATGTCTATATCATTATTTCGCGCTGTGAATGCCCATCCCATCACACCATCTGATGATAAAGGATAAAGCACACGACCGTTGTAGCACTATGGCCCTTGAGACAATTTTGGCTCTTTATAAAATTGTCTCTTCAATTTGGTCTATAAAGTCAAATCATAAGTACTAAATGAACGTGGTTATAGTTGTTCGTAAAAAAGTGATGTTTTAGTTAAATTATAATCATTGTCAAAATAGTCCACAAATTCTAGCTGTGTATTGACCTATGGTCGGTTGACCAAAAATAGGTAATGTTGCCTGTCTTGGTTGTGGGAAATATAGAGTTTTATTCCTTATATGGCGTGGAAATTCACGTCAAGGTTATTAAAGACCTGGGAAAGTAGGGGGTATAAATTAGGGTGTAGGGTAGAGCTAGATTAGAGCTCACCCAGAGATTCTTACCAGTCATTATATATTTGAGAACGAGGAACCTGCAAAGTTATTTCCAGTTTACTAATAAAGCTGTGAAATCATTGTTGCTGTAGTATTATTATTTGTGTTGAACCAAAAAAGGGGGTACTAATTAAGGAAAATGTTTTGTTTAGGCCCGTGAATAAAATAGAAACAACACGATCAAGATGGTTGATTACGCTGGTTCGTGATCTTCGACCTTTTGACGTTTTTGTTGGGAAATTGACCACAGGTGTTACTCGTGGTCTGGACGTTTCACAAGACATTTTAAGTAAATATAATACGACAAAGACTCAGGATTTTAGGACAACGTTACTTCGATTAAAAGAGGAAATTATGACTTTAACTGATGCACATTATGACATATTAGATGTTGTAGGAGATTTACGGACGTTGCGTACCGGAACTAAGCGAAAACGTTCACTTGTTCCCATTGTAGGGAAGGCTTTCAATTTTTTATTCGGTACCGTCTCCGAAAGTGATTTACAGGACATTCGAATAAATATACGGACATTAGAAACAAATCAACAGCGCGTATATCACGTCCTCGAAAAGAGTATGTCGGTTTTCAATGTTTCACGAATGGAGATTAAAGCAAACCGCCGTGCTATTTCGAAACTGCACGATTCATTAGGGACATTAGATAAAAAAGTAAAAGCCATAGTTCATGAAGCACAAGAACGTATTGTACAATAAGAACAGTTTATTCACATGTATTTGCGCTTAGATTTGGTTGTTGAAGAGGTTAAATTAATGATATTACGAGCTGAAGTTTATCTTGAAACATTACAGCACGAGTTGGGAATGTTGAGCCTGGGACATTTGACGTCCGCCACTATTTCTCCTGCGTCGCTGCAAACATTATTAATGAAAATCGACCGACAGTTGCCATCTAATGTACATCTGCCGGCTGATCCTGTCAGAAATCTTTGGCATTATTATCAGTTATTAACGTGCACCACGGTATTAAATGTTGATCAAATTTTAGTTATTATAGCTATTCCGCTACTTGACTCCGATGGTACATACGATCTTTATCGGACGCATAATTTACCTGTACCAATCCATCCTAAACTTTTGGCTAGTCCGTCCAACGCCACTCAACATGGTCGGTCAATATAATTTGGAAACTACACATTTTGCCATTAATAGTGATTGGACTAAGTACGTTATTTTAAATGTGGATGAAGTGAAACAATGTAGCGACCCTAAGGTGGGGTTTTGTCGAATTAAAAGTCCAATATATCCGGTGAATCTAAATAAATTATGTATAGTGGCACTTTTCATGCAGAATACAAAACATATTAAAATATTGTGTAAAGTAAATGTCAGACCGAACGGTATTTTGCCTCGAGCAGAATATTTAGTTAATGGTTTGTGGGTAATTAGTACGCGAACACACTGTCGGTTATCGATAGTGTGCGGGGGGTAAAAATTTTCAACATTTTACGGTTACTGTAAGACCACCTATGGGTTTGGTTCAATTAAATATGTCTTGTAGAGCAACCAGCGATGAATTAACTTTACCCGCTTATTTTGAACAAGAAAGCGCGGTTGTACAGGTAGTATCTTTTGATAAAATTGTCAAATCGTTCAATAAAGCTTTAGATACTCTTTGGGAGCCTCTACACATTGCCCTTAGTAACTATACGCTTACTAAATTGCCACCAAAATTAGAACATTTAAGGGAAATTTCTATGGAAAGTTTAATTTATGAGTTACATAATTTGAGGCAGTTAGAGAAAGACAAGGCCTGGCCATTTTGGTATTATATATTTATAATTATTGGTTCAACACTGGTAATTCATATTGGCTTTATATGTTGCTATAAACGCAACTCAAAATTTAAAAATTTCTTAAGTCATTGTTTTGGAATGAAATATTGTGGAAATCGTCCTGAGATCAGTGCAAAGGATGAAATAGTTCTATCAAGAAGGGGCGAGTTAACAACTAATGGAGATGAATTAGAAACCATAGAAACACACTCTGGTATTCTCCAATCAACGCCCGTGCCTGGTACACCCGATCCGACATCAAGCACAGCTGTTCCTGCCGCTACTGGTAATAGAATTCCAAAGGAAAGGAAATTAACGGAAAAGTTATCACACGACTTTGTTGTACCTGAATTAAGTGAGATGTTCCGTGTGACTTCATAAGAAGTGTTGTGTTAAAAACAGTCACCCACTGATTGTGTGTATGTGTATTGTATACAACTATTGTGTTATGGGTGAATAACCCATTAATCAGTGACTGTTAGTGCGCCTATGTCGACAAAGTTTATATACTATTTTGCTTATATATTATATACTCATTATGCTTATATCTATATAGACATATCTATTCAGAATGTTATCGGTATCCAGTTCCAGTTATTTTTAGTCCACACGCGTAAGTCTACATGTTGAACGGTAGCTGTGTTGACTGTCAAACTGTCATTAACAATTGAACATGATGTAACCTTTCACCTGTTTTGTGGTAACCAAAAGTCAAGTATGTGACCCTACACGCGTGAATTGAGTTTATATTATCAAACAAACTATGGAGAGTAAACTCATTAGGTCACAAGCTGTTGAATGACATGTGCTATAACAGAACTTTTATTTCATAATCATTATCTATCTGAAAAAGAACGGTTGTTAGTTTCTGGATTGTGAATAGGATTGAACGAACGTTTAACAACATGTTTTGTTTGTGTTTTACCATAGGAGTGTGAATCGTTATCGAGATTGACAGTAGGACACTTCAAGAATCAAAAACCTTTTTTTGAATTTGACTTAAAGTTTTTTTTATTATAGTCAAATTAAAGTGAACTTAGGACTTTGTAAGATAGTGCGGAATTTTTATCATATGGAAATATTTTATGCATGCCATTTTTATTATATGTATGTAATTTTATTTCTTTTGCCAGGTTTCCTCGTTCTCCAGTTTTCATTTACTCCCCCTAACATATATATATATATATTTTTTTTTTGCCATGCTGTAACTACGTACCATCATGTCTTAGCGATGGGAGGTATGTAGCACTATGGCCCTTGAGACAATTTTGGCTCTTTATAAAATTATCTCTTCAATTTGGTCTATAAAGTCAAATCATAAGTACTAAATGAACGTGGTTATAGTTGTTCGTAAAAAACAGTGATGTTTTAGTTAAATTATAATCATTGTCAAAATAGTCCACAAATTCTAGCTGTTTATTGACCTATGGTCGGTTGACCAAAAATAGGTAATGTTGCCTGTCTTGGTTGTGGGAAATATAGAGTTTTATTCCTTATATGGCGTGGAAATTCACGTCAAGGTTATTAAAGACCTGGGAAAGTAGGGGGTATAAATTAGGAACCTGCAAAGTTATTTCCAGTTTACTAATAAAGCTGTGAAATCATTGTTGCTGTAGTATTATTTACGATCACAAGGAACACAAATCAAATTCTACTAACCTAGTAAATACACCAATACTTTTTTCTGGCTTTCTAATTGTTGGAAGACAGTATATCAAGTTATTATTCACATTATCATAATTCTCAACTTGAGTTCAAATTGGGCAAACATTTTATCTATCAATTTTTTGTTTATTTATGGTCCTGGGATCAGGTGGTTTCCGTGATCGTACGATGGTATATTACGATCGTCTGTATGACCTTGACTAAAAATAAATATGCAAGGTCGAACGCATATTGTGTGATAGGAATAATGATAAAGTGACCTGCTAGTCTACATGTAAGGCATGATAACAAAATGAAAAGCCAGTCTGTATCTTGGATAACTGTCAACAAGATAAGACGATTATAGGAGCGCCTCATTGTCAAGGCTAATGACATCCAATTTGATTGCATAAACGACTTCATTTTGAGCGGAGCTATAGCCGTTTGAAGAAAAGTATAGCCTCGATTGTCATTGCTACCGTTGTTACGATCATATAAAAAGTCTCGATTATCCATATTTTTATCAAATCATTAACTGGCAATCATGTTTAAATCCGTTAAAAAATCGCAAGCATCCGATGTTCCAGAGAGTTCAGTTTGGTCTTGTCATGTTAGTAAATGTCTACTTAATAATTTATATAAAATTTAAGGCCAAAATAAAGACTTGCAATAGGCAGATTTAGCTCTTACATAATGCATCTTTAAATAATCTTACAGTAAATTAATTAATACAATATACGTGCAAAAATATTACATAAAACATATTCAAACGTAGTCTAAAATATTCCAACCATAACATGCACTGTAGGTATTCGTTAATTATTTACCACTGAAAGGTAAAATATGAATAATTATAGAATGTAAGCTCAAGGGGGTCTCTCCTTTCGCGTCATTCACCTTGCTTACAAAAATTCTAAAAACGTCATTCAAGAATTATATCTTGTAATTCATAGGTTCACGTTCGAAAAGCGAATGTGCCGAATTGCACCAAGATTCTCCTTTATGCCCCAATGACCAGATTGTGAAATAGCGATCAACACAGGCGAAGACAAAATATAAAATACATACTCCTATGTAACCCATATCTCTATCTATTAAATCTGCTAACTTCATTAATAACGCTCCCCTTTTACTGGCATCCATCCGTCTCCATGCTGATCCTATTTTAAACGCTGCCTTGGCAGCATCAACAGCTTTATCAACATCAGCCTGTAGAAAAGAATGTAGTCTGGGTATTTATATTCTCAAGATTTAATAGTTTGATGCATAGACAATTTGGTTTGGTTGAAAAGTAGAATGTGGGCAGTAATCGATAACATCAGACCAAGACAATAAAAACAGAGAATGATGTTTTCACGGTCAAATCCATGTACCACAGAGCATTTCAGTCTATACGACAAATGAAAACGGAATTGAACCGAGTAGGAATGTTGCAAATCACTATTTTATGACGCCAACAAATGACATGGGGTAAACAATACAGCCTTTAAAACTCCTACTGTACCGTGGAAGACGCATAGCATCGATAGACCAAGGTTGGCCATTGAACAACGACAACGCTCTCTTCACAGGCCCGGCTAAAGCGCCCCCCCCCCCAATAATTTGGCCGCAAGTACTATTTTCTCCAGGTAATTGCGGCCCCTGGACCCACGCCTATATTGACCTAGGATGGAAGCCCCCCCCGCCCCCATCAAGAATTGCTTCCGCCGGCCCTGCTTCAAAGGTGAATTGGTACCAGGGCCACTAGAAGAAGCGTTGCAACGGGAGGTGAGAGGGATCCCACAGCCCGCTGTTCAAAGGTTGTTCTGACCAACCCGGCGACCTTGCATGACGTGTGTGTGTGTGTTTGCTACAGAGGTTGACACACACGTTACTGATTTTCACCTGATATACCATACAGTTCACCAAATTAAATTCGTTATGGCCTCCGTGGATTGTTGAAGACTTTTTGCTGTCAGTATTTTAATGTCCGGCCTACAATCATGTCATCAATCACATTTCAGCTGCGTTGTATCTGGTCAGCTCTTCCCGTCAAATCAGTTGTGCGTTTTCATTGCGTCTCAGTACATTTACAATAGAGACTATTACTATTTTTATTTTAATATTTTAAAAATGATAATACACCATCGCGTGACTTAAATTCTTTTTTTTAAACTTTATATACAAACTTATCTACTTATCATCTTTCAAAACACCCTATAGAGAATAAATGCAAAGTAATCACAGATTAACAGCCTTTAAAGGCTTTTTTTATGTCCATGTAGATTATTGGACAATATGCTATAAGTAGTCACAGCTTATCAATTTATAAAAAGATTATGAACAAATTAAAAAATCCAACCTTGTCCCCCTCCTGCACATCTGCTATTTTCTGCTTTGTAGTCGGATTAATCGTTGGGAAAGTTTTACCACTGACGCAGTTTACATACTCATTGTTTATAAAAGCCTGAAAAACAATTATCCAAGTTTTCAACTACGAAATGTCAAGCAAGGGCACGTTGCCCTAAAATACAACAGATTGTAATATGTTGATGAATAACGTTGAATATTATATAGGCAATTGTGATGAATATGAATATAAAATTGGATGTTCTTATTAAGACAAACATAACTCCACATAGAAATCCTGATTTCAACACTTACATACATCTATTTTTAGAATACAAAATACTGAGAATCATTTAATACTATAAATTTAAAGATACGTGACATTTAGAAGTATATCAAATCCATCGTTTTGGGAGAAATGGGGTTTAACGTCCACTCGACACAAACTAGGTCATTTCGGGACTAACACATGGTTCAATTTTAATCCAATAATTCGCTTGAGGGTAGGGGTCTTTAGCAGTGGGAGGAAACCGGAGGACCCGGAGAAAACCCACGAGGTTGGACATGCGACCCTACTCCTTGTCACGTACAACCGGGGAATCGACACCACGCCAGTTGACTCAATGGCAGACCTTATGATACAGTGCGCACGTGCTAACAATTCGGCCATCCACCCCCACCCCCACCATCGTTTTGGTGGTGGTATGTTAGGTCACGGACGGGAGTGGCTGTCCTTATCTATTCCCGTCCATGACCTAAAATCAGGGCCGTCTTAACAGCATTATTATAGGTCCCCGGGTAAAGCAGTACGCTGTGCAGGGTCCTTATATACCTACACAACAGGAATACAAATGTAAATGGTTGATGACATTAAACACATGTTTATTCTAATAGTACTTGCGACAACTGCAACTGCCCAGCGTGCCGATGCGTTGTAAGACAGTCCTGCCTATATACAGCCTGGTAAGAACTTATTGACGTGCACGTAAAAGAACCCTTAGGAGTTGAAATATTCGATATAAGTGTAGGCCATAGAGCCGCTGTCCAGGCAAAATTGTACATACAGCATACTGTAGGGCGTATGTCCGTCTTCATTAGCCCAGTCGGAGCAGACCAGTTGGACATTAAACCTCATTTTATTTTATTTCCTAAAACACAACTAATACGACGGATAATGGTCATGCGCCCGTGTTAATAGCACAGCTGAGCAGTGAGCAGCATCTAGATCTGCACATATTCTAGGCGATCTATAAATGCATTTTTAGGATATCGAAAACCAATGACAATGTACATATAAATTTTGGTATAGGCCTAGCAACTAATTCTTTGCTTGATGATCCTGTTAGGTAACCGATCGAAGCTTCCTGATGATGAAATGAAAAGAAACGTCCTGTTGTTCTGCAGATAACTTCAAACAGTCACGCCTCACTATGCTTTGGGATAAAAAACGGGCATAGCCTTTTTGTTATACCAATCTATCATTATTTGTTTTAAGTTCTATAATATATAGCAGCTGACATGACATTTTTGTAAGTACACGGTTGTGTTTGATTCAAGCGAGTCCAGTTTCTTCCAGAATAAATAAGCTGTGCCAATTCTAATTTAGGGTCAAAGCTAGCCACAATATCCGATTTTTAAATACATAAATATAATATGATAATGATATCTAAGTCCAGGGTTCATAAAACCAACCCTGTAAGTATAAAGTGTAAATAAATAAATGTATTTCGGGATCCACATTCATAGGTTGATCAAACACGCACCATAGCGGCCTTGTTAAGGTTGACCTAAATGTCCCTATAGAATCCTACACCAGTGGACGGTCTATTCTATTAATATATATCAATACATAAGTAAAGCTCCCTACCTGAGTATATTTAACATCAGGGTTTCTGATGGGTAGTGGTGGCATTGTTTTATCACGTCTGATTACAACTACACTGTTGTCTGCAAGAGTTTGATTTGCCAACGCATCGGTGGATGTAGAAGTATATATAGCAGTCGACAATGTTATCGCTTCAATGTAGATTACATAAATAAATGGCACGTGATGATAAGTTAAAGAGTCTCTGGATAAGGTACTTTATCTTTCGCCCCCCCCCCCCTCCACTGTGTCCAGTGACGGATCATGAAGTCTCCTGGCCCAAGTGACAAGATGCCACCTTAGGGGGTCCGGGGAGGGGATTTAGGGCATCCAGGGGTCCTCCCCCGAGAAATTTTTTGAAATTTCGACCTGAAATGGTGGTCTGTGGAGAATATCACGGGCGGTAAGTCATATATCAAAGCTCGATGTTGATCAGATCTAAAAAGTTAGGTCACTTCAGGACTAACACATGGTTCAATTTTATTTCAATAATTCGCTTGCAGTGGGAGGAAACCGGAGAAAACCCACAAGGTTGGACAGGCGATACTACTTCTTGTCACGTACATCTGGGGAATCAAAACCCCGCCAGTTAACTCAATGCCATGACCTTATGATACAGCGCGCACGTGCTAAGCATTCGGCAATCCAACCCCCTCGATCTAAAGAGACTCGTAGTTTCTAGCAGGTACAAATTTGATGAAATTACTTCAACCAGTCTCCGGGCCCCACAGACTCGGTAACTATACACTGTCGATACGACTAAACAAGACCCCCAACACGACCAACGCGATCCAAGAAGAACTTAACACGACCGAACGCGATTCCGATGCGATGCAACAAGACAAGGACATGTTGTTTTTAGTTATTCGCCAATATCGAAAAACGAAAAACGAAACTCGAGCTAACTTTACACTGCCCCTTCCAAGTACATTGCAGTTAGTAAGATTATGCCAAATGGGGAACGGGCTGTGTCATTCAGCCACTCTGCATTGTGCGACATTTTCGGGCATCGTTTATTATTTGTCAATGTAGCTGCAACAGTCTGATTGGTTGGATGATTGGAATCAGGTCGGCATAGAGTTGGACTTGGGTTGCAAAACTTTGAAGTTTACGGTGGCTGATTTAGGACATGCAAAAAAAAAAAAAAAAAATAAAAAAAAAAATTAAGTAAATCGAGGGCTCGAGATACTAAGTCGAGCGCTCGAGATAATACAATCGAATACGCCTCAACCGATGTTTTAAGCTTTATGGCTTTTTGCATTATTTAATGATAAACTTGCAGGATATAGATATTCATTTCTTCGTTTTTTACAGCCCACCCAAAGCTTGGAATAGCAGCAAAACGCGTTTATACGGGTTGAATTCTTATTTCAATAATTCGCTTGCGCGTAGGGGTCTTTTGCTGTGCAAGGAAACCGGGGGACCCAGAGAAAACACACGAGGTTGGACAAGCGATCCTACTCCTTGACACGTACAACCGGGGAATCGAAACCACGTCAGTTGTCTCAATAACAGACCTTATGATATAGCGTGCACGTGCTAACCATTCGGCCATCCAACCCCTCACAAAGTAAACAAAAGACATTAGTTTATTAGTTATTAGTCTTCATGAGAAGATTCAAAATCAAAGCTCATAATACTGTATGAGCGGGATAGATATCTTCTCGATGGCTAATCAACAGCTCGCATATATCCTTTGGATATGCTTCAGATACCTATTTACATTGTAAATCTTCATTCAACCCATGCATCGCACTGTCATCTTGTTCGATCGTTGTTTTGTAGTTTGTCTCCATATTGCGACATAATTGCTGCGTTTAATGTGCAGCAACAGACCATCACGCAAGATGGTAATAAAGAGAAAGAAAGGCTTGTTATTTTTCATCACGATTAAAATTCCTCCAGAAAATCTTTCTTCTAGTGTCATCTACTGATGTAAGTCGCCTTTTGCCGCACAAACAATTTATTCTAAACGAGCAATTACGTCATCAGATACATCACTTGTCTGTCCCAGTTCTTTAAAAATTGTTAAAATTTGGAATTATCTTGAAAAAGAAAGTCAGATAGCCATTACTGTTGAAAGCATGTAAACCGAGATATTCTCGACACTTTCCATACTAATCTTGATTGGAACAACAGGTATATCAAGATTAGTATTGAAAGTGTCGAGAATATCCTTGAACTGAAAACAAACCACGGGTACATCAAAATAGCTAACCTACTCCACTACGCATTGCAAAATAATGGAGGCGCTGAAACAAATTGTATTTTGCGTTCTTGCTCGGGCGAAATAGACATCCCAATCGTTCTCCTCGCAAACGATCACCCAAAAACACACATTGTGATCGATAATGAGACGGGGAAAGGTAGAAAATACCCCAAAAGGCGACGTACATCTTTATTACCACCATATAGTAGTGGTCTTTTGCTGCACATTAAACGCGGCAATTATGTCGCAACAATACGGAGACAAGCTGCAAAACCAATGATCGAACAAGATGACTTTGTGATGCATGGGTTGAATGAAGAATTACAATGTGAATGGGTATCTGAAGCATATCCAAAGTATAAATGCGAGCTGTTGATCAGTCATCAAAAAGATATTTATCCCGTTCATGTAATGAACTTTGATTTTGAATCTTCTGATGAAGACCAAGAATAAACTAATATCTAAACATGTCTCTGATTTACTGTTTTTGATATTCATTTCCAGATCTCCTGAAAAGTACCATTATAATTCAATATTGTGAAGGACGAAATTGGTACTAAACGAAAAAGTTAACGAGAAGCCACTTTTAAGGTCAATTTTGAACCAAATGATTTCTGTCCCTAAAAAAATACATGTTGTCGCCCCTACCACCCCGGGACCCACCCCACCCCCACACAACGGGATTCTTATACACCACATATTTAAAGATGCCATCACGCTCTAAGGAAATCACCATTTAAATCAAAACGAACTCATTTCCTGCCAATTTTACCCCTGCACCCCTGCACACCCCCCCCCCCCACACACACCTTGCCTCAAATCAAAACAGTTGTCCAGGACATCATAAACACTCATTTACAGATGGACAATCCTAGAAAGTTATGTTTTATTTATATATAACATGATCATCATTTATGTCAACACAATCACATTTTTCCCCCAATTGTAGACATTGCCCCCCCCCCCCCATATCTTGACAACGCCCCCCCCCCCCCCACAAACGCCTGATCACCACCCAGATTCGGAATAAACGAAAAATCTGGTTTAGAAATATTTGGTCTCATAAATTCTCAGCTCGGGAGGCGATCCCCCCCCCCCCTTCAGCCACCGGACTAATAGTCGTTGTAATGAAACGATAAACCGAAGTCCTTTGTACACACTGGCATGCAGGTAAAAGAACCCTTGACAGTTGGAATTCGAAATAAGAGTAGGCCCTAGTGCCGATGTCTTCATTAGCCCAGTCGGTGCAGAGCAGCAGGACGTTAAAACCCATTTCATTTCATTTCGTTCACGCTGATGATATATGATGGACATGTATGATCTATGATGACTAGAAAACAGTTTAAGAAACACTTTTTTCCCCCTATTGAACAGTCACTTTAAAGGGGAAGACCAACGATTTTCAACAAGGTTTCCATAAATCTTAAATATATATAGATAAATAATCCCCCCTGTAACACAAGCAAAAACGTTCCTGTAAGCCAGAAATTAATTTTTTATTAAAACCGGAAGTGATATAGTTAGTTCAACACGCTCACTGGGTCAAAGGACGACGCGTGAACACAATACAGCAGTAAACTTATGCCAAATCTGTATGCTTACTATAGAGCCCAGTGAGCGTGTTGAACCAACTATGTCACTTCCTGTTTTAATAAAAATTAATTTCTCGCTTACAAAAACTTGTTTTGCTTGTGCTACAGAGGTGATTATTTATCAATATATATTTAAGGTTTATGGAAACCTTGTTGAAAATCGTTGGTCTTCCCCTTAAATCCTATACGACATCTAATATATAATTGTCACGTGATACTTATATAAACAGTTTAGTCTAAACTGACTGTATATAAATTTATACCCCCAGCAGTAGGCAAAATAAGCTCCCACAGATAACTGTGTAATCAGAAGTGAAAAAAAAACAATGCCACCACCACCCATCAGAAACCCTGATGTTAAATATACTCAGGTAGGTACAATTAACTGTTTGCTGTCAATATTTAATATTAACAAACCTGTTTAATTTTACAGAATACTTCTTCTTCTTTCCTAGAGTTTTACGTCCACTTTCACCATTACAGTATACAGGACTAAAAGCTATTTAAACCCCTTTAGCACAGCTGGTATGAGGCATGTTTGCTTGTTAAATATTAAATACTCAATTCTGTAATTTATGATCAGTAATTTGAACTTTATAATGTTAATTTTTATAATTGGTGCTCAGGCTTATTATGTATATAGTTATCAGTCAGGATTATCGTTAACTTATACCCGAAATAGAGCTTCAATTAAACATACCGATATTCTTTTGGGTCATACAAGTTTGGATGATGGACGTTATTGTACCTTTAAAGCAAATAACCAAACACCGGTTATACAAACACACCAAACCATTGACACTGTTATCTATGCAGAGCTATTTCAGCCATTTCGTTCATCGTCTTTTCAATGTTAAAGGTGCTAAATCGCTAATATTTTGGATCTAGAAATTGACACAAATGGGTCGCAACGTATATAATAATGTAATGTGAATGTATATAAACTGATTTACATTCAATCGTTTCTGTTTTTACTGCAATTTCTAATCAGTTATATTCGGCGAAATACGCCAGAAGTCTCAATCCAATGGCAATCTCCAGCGTCTGGTTATTCCACCCTATACCGATAGTATTTATTGCGCATGTTCTCCAGATAAGAAGAATATGGCCGTTTGACATGACTTGTGGAATATATCTAGCCCCTTTGTACGAGTCCCTTGTTAAAAATGGCGCTGAAATGCACCTCGTGTACCAACGGTAAAATGTTTATTTTGTCTTAATTATTGGATATCAGAAGCCCATCTTTTCCCGGTAAGATCACAACATCAATGTTGATTTAAATTGACAAATAATTCGTGTTTTCAATGTCGAAGATTTTGCATGATATTGAGTTAGAGACTTAGCTACTTTAATTAAGCCA